GGAAGGAAAGCAAGAGCACCCTTTGGGTTCTCCTCCTCCCCTTGCAGGTCAGTGCTCTGGATCTTAGGTTTGCTTCTGTTCACATCCCTCTGCAGCAGACCCCCTGCCCTAACGCCTGGGGCTGTGCAGAGGTGCAGGTAACACAGCAGCCTCTGTAGAGAAGGTCTGCTTCCATTCTCTACCAATTCACGAGTTTGAAAACCACCTTGTCCTGGAGGGCAGAGGATAGGGCTGAGGAGAGCGTGCCAGGAACCAGAGAGGACAAACAAGGGCAAGGGTTTGCTGCTTAATTACTTAAGCCTCTTTTGTGGCCAATCTGGAGTCGTACGGGATCAGAACCTAACCCATCCTAGTTCCTTTTATAGGGCTGTAGCTTGGTGAGGAAACCAAAGTAAGTGACTTTCCCTCCCTTCTCCCCTCCCCGCTCTCTCCAGCATTAACAGTAGCAAAGTTGTCCTGCGCTTTGAGAGGTTTGGGTTGGGAATCCTGGAACCGAGTCACCAGAAGCTGTAGCGGTCGCTGGCCCCGGCCCCGCTGCTCCCGCCCGTGTCCGCACTCGGCCCCGGCGGCCCGGCCCTGCCCGAGCACCAGCGGTTGTGTAAGGAATGTTTACATGGATCTTTGTGTGAACTCTATTTTTTTAAGCACAATAAAGCAGTGAATCCGGTTGAACCGCGGCCGCGCTCCAGCAGCACCCAAACCAGAACCGCTTCGGGTTCCTTCTGGGGTCTGCGGCGAACGGCAGCGACCTTCTGCCTTCGGAGCCCTTGCTGTCCCCAGGAGCAGGGGAGCAGGGGAGCGGGCTGGCTCCAGCAGCAGGGCTGGAGGCCAGGCCTGCCCTTGCCTTTCATTGCGGTAAAACTCAAGCTCTTGCAGTGGGGTTTGCCCAGGCTGAGCCCCAGTGAAACTTCACAGAACTCCTGCGGGCAGGAAGGGTCACGCCTGGCTCCCGAGGACCTGACCCAGCCCTGCTCAGACTGCGTCAGGGTGATTTGAAGACACACACACACACCCCCCATACCCTCTCCAGTGCACGAGGCGGAGGTTACGAGTGAGGACGGGTCATGAGGGGGCCCTGGAAGCCCCCAGATTCCATTTCTCCAGCAGCACTGGCGCACTGCACCCCCATACACACACCTGTCACCATGGGGGGCTGTGAGGGGCACGGGGGCAGCTCTAGCCCCACGATGCAGGGAAGGCGGCAGGCACTCGGGGGCAGGTGGGTGACTTGTATAAAATTCAGTGGCAAAGAAAGCCCTGGGTTGTGCTGGGCAGAGCTCCCCTGCCTCGGGCAAGCCGGGAGCGCTCCCACGAGTGCTCTGGCAGTGATTTTGTTCCATGTCCCACACAAAACATGGGTTTGGTGGTAGCAGGCACTGCTTCTGCCCTCCCTCCTCTCCCCATTGTTACAAACACCCCCCTGCACCCCCGTGTGTTCAGCCTTCACCACCTTGTTCTCCTCCAGACTTGCTCCTGTTTGTTCCCACAGTAGTGCTGCGTCAGCGGTTTTAAGCCGTTGTTTGCCCTGTGGGCACTGCGTAAATCACAGCAGCACCCCCAAAGCTAAGCCAGGAAACCTCCGGGCTTCACCCTGCTCCTGCTGCAGGTGCTGGGGCTGCAGCCTCAGCTCTGAGCACGTCCTGGGGGGCAGCAGCCCCCTGTGCTCCTCACCCCTGCCCTGGGGAGCAGGAACACCCGGAACTTCCCAGCAGGAAACAGTCAACAACTGGCCCATGGACACTGGAGCTCGTCCCTCATCAGCTGCTGCACCTGCGTGCGGGAGCCTCTCTGGGGGAGCAACAGAGCCTTGGTTTGCTCCTGAGGCTGTGCCTGGTGAGGAGCAGGATGGGCAGCGCTGCTCCAGAGCCCCATTAAAACAGAGTAATTAAAGCCCGAGCAAGCCCCATCACTGTTTGTCCTTCCTGGCCTGCCCTCGGGTCTAACTGAGGCCCTGTCCGTGAGGATGCGCTGCCCCTTGCCAGGCAGAGTTTCCCCATTCCCTGGGAGCCAACATCCCCTTGTGCTGGCAAAGGAGCACGGGCCTGAGCCGCAAGATCTGGGATTCGAACTCAACCCGACCTTGGGTTTGCATTTAACACCATAAACTGCTCCTGAAAGCCAGACCCGGCCTCCTGCCCCCTTCTATCAGAGGGGAGGCACCCGTGGTGCTCCGGCTGTGCTGCTGCTGCTGCTGCTGCAGGAGCCCGGTGCCGGTGGAGCCCGCGGGGGCAGCCCGGCTCCGGGGCTGCGGCACCTCCTGCAGCCGGCAGAGGCCCCTGGACGCGTGGGAACCCCTCGGTGAATAAACCTTTGCTGCGGGTAACGCGAGCGGCGCCGAATCGTGGCTTCACCTCCCCTCCCCTCCCCTCCCCCGTGTACTTGGAGCCCATCTCCCCCGGGAGCCCCCAGCCTCCGCCCTTCCCTCGGCCCAGTGAAGCAGCCGCAGGAGGTTTCCCACCACCTCCCCACAGACACAGCGCAGCCCCTGCTGGGCGCCCCGAGCCGCGTTAACGGGCGCTGTGTGCGCGGAGCGCCGCCTCCTGGCCGGAGCATCCCCGCGGATTCAAACCCCTCCGCACGGGACTCAACGCGGTCCCCGGGGCACAGCCCAAGCGCTTCATTTCTCCCACACGCCCAAAGCGCCGCCTCCCTCCTCCGGGAGCAGCCGGCGCTCACCCCTCAGCAGAGACAAATTCCGGCACAAGCAGAGACCGCTCCTGGCCCCAGCCCCCCGCCGTGGAACGCTCCATTGCATTCCGAACCCGACGCCCGGAGGGGACCATCCCTTCCCCAGCCCAGCCGCACCTCGCTGGCCATTCAGCACTCTGCCATCCCACAGAACACCCCAGCGCGGGCACAGAGCGCAGGGTCATTCGCAGAAGGCACCACGGAACAGCCCACGGCACAGACCAGGCTGCAGCGCACCTGGCTGAAGCAAGCTCCGGGAAAGCCGGACGCACCGCATCAGTTATCCCAACAAATCACAGCCTCATCCCGACACATCCCCGCCTCCTACCCCAGAGCTCAGCCTGCTCCTGCCCGCACACAGCAGCAGCTCCAGCCCCCTCCTCCCAGCCCCACAGACTGGGGCAGGGACGTGCCCCCCCCCCATCACTCAGAACCCTTTGCACAGCAACAACAGAAATCACCATTTCAACACGAAGAGAAAGGAAAGAAAGCCTCTGACCTACCTGGGCTCCTGCTGCCCTCCCTGCCCGGCAGGACCAACCTCACAGCAGCACTGCAGCCTCCGTGTGTGGGGCTGTGCCCCGCGGGGCTCAGCTGCCCCTCATTGCCCTGCATGGAGCAGTTGATCAGGATCAGCTGCTGGCCCCTCAGAGCCTGCACCCCGGCCCGGAGCCTCAGCATCCAGCCTGTCCTGAGTGCTGGGTTCCACCTCAGCTGTGTAAGCAGGGCTCAAGTGTTAGTGCAACGAACCACTCAGTGCTTCAGAAAGGGCTCCTCTGCCACTCTCAGCCCGGTGGAGTCCCCAAACCAGCGAGGAGCTCATAACCTGGGAGCACAGAACATCCCTCTGCCTCCAGCAGCACCACTCAAGTGCTCAACCTGATGCACAGCTTAAACCCCATCCTGACTGGGGGCTGTAATGAAGCCAATCGCAAGAGCCAACAGCAGTTCCATCCACAGCAACGTTTGTCTCAATATAAAGGCATCTTTTATTACACACAAATCAAGTAAATCAGAGCATAGAATTCAAACGTACCAAGTGCTTTTGACTTCCGAACCTTCCTGCCATGGGCTGTGTAACAACAACAATTCAGGTTCAAGTACCTGAAACACACAAAGCAGAACTGCAGCCACTGCCTCCTCATGCACCCACACCTGGAGCAGGTATTGCCACTTGGGAACCATCACTTTATTATCTCATTTGCAATACTGCTGCAGATGCACCCAGGCGTGGGACTGAACATTCCCAAGCAGCACAACCGTCCAGTTACTTGCTTTAAAGTATAAAGGATAAACGTGCACAGGGAGAGAATCTGGTACAAACCCCTCACACAGATACAGTGTGGTTCAAGAAATATTCCACTTGCAGCTCACACCATAAAAAACCTCGGAATTTCCTCATATTTACAGAAAACAGCAAACACAGACTGCAGACAGCATTACAAAAATAGTTTGAATCTTCACGATTGAGAAAATCAATGAAGTCTCAGAATAAATAGCAACAAAATGTTAAACTTCATGTTTTTCTTAAGGCTGAGGTTTAAAGCTCAAATCCTACCATCACAGACATGTTCTATACATGTACATACGTGTCACACACACAGGAACATGCATGAGAAAGAGGATTTGAGCCCTTGCGTTTTGAAAACAACCACAAATGTGCAAGGATTGGCTAAAACAGGAGGTGATTTGCTCTTGGGCTGCTGGGTTGCAAAGCTCCTGCCCCTCTCTTGACTTCCGGTGGGAACACAGCCCCAAATATATCTTCATGGTATCGCTTTTGGCTCTGCAGAAATGAAAGGAAAGCCAAGAGATGAATTCAGCGCTGCTCCCTGTGCAGGAGCTCAGTAACCAAAAGGTCTTTTGCATTCTGTGCCAGTGGCTTTTGTTTCTGTTGGTAAAAGAACCTGTCTGACTCCCAGACACTCGTGTGCTGCAGGACAAGTTCTGGTAGCAAAAGGGTCCTAAAAAGCCCCAAGCACTCTGCTTTCAGTGACTGCTTCAACTCACTTTGCTCCACTGGTACAACACAAACTCTTGCTGCTCTGGACCCAGCCCAAAGCTGATGTCCAGGACCCAAAGAGAAACAAATGGCAGATGTAAGAGAAGGGCATCAGGCGTCACTCTCACACCTCAACCAAACAGAAACTGTGTTTTACAGCACGGGGCAGGGAATAAGCTCATCACGTAAAGCTTTTCTCCTTGTGCATGCTCATGGCAGCCCTCAAGGTCTGGAGGGTGACTGAAGACTTCCACGTCCCACCCCGGGGCATTGTGTGACTGGGAAGGCCACCTCGTGTGTCACAGCGTACCTTTAGCTGGAAGAAATACTCCTCTGCCTGCTGCTCGCTGAGCTTCAGGGCCTTCGTGAGCATCCTTTTCAGAGCCTGAGCAACGTCCTTGGCCATGCGCACGTCTCCACAGACATAGAGGTGCCCTTCCTCCTTGTGCAAGAGGTTGCACACTTTGGTCCCCAGCTTGCTTTGAAGAACGTCTTGAACATAGACCTTGGAAACAGAAAAAGGACCAGAAAAGGTTTTCAATGGGGGCTGGCACAGTGAGGGTTTAACCACCCTGGCCCCGCTGCGTGCTGCACCACAGCGCAGGAGAAGAAAACAGCTTCATGCTGTCTTTACAGGCCCCAGATTTGGAGGCTAGGCCTGATTTAATGACAGCAGACTGAGACTCTTCTTCCTCAGAACCAGTTACAGCTGCCACAGCCACAGAGCAGAGGAAGCAGCCTTACTTTAGGTTGGCCAGGCTGTCTGGAGTAGGCTGTGTAGACTTCTTTCAGGACTCCCTTCCTCTTCATTTCCTCAGTTTCTGCTTTGTAGAGGTGATCCATGTCTGGCTGCCGGCAGCCAAACAGCAGCGTCATGTCACCCCCTCTGATCCCTGAAACCAACATTGGCAAGTTGCTTGTCTTTCCTGGTAAAGGCCCATTATCCCTTATGACTATCCCCACAGCGGGCCCCGCTGCCACAGCAACTGGCTGTGTAGAGCTGTTCTGTTCCACACCTGGAATGCTGTGTTCTGTTCAGGTTTTAGGGTCTTGCAGGAGGATGGAACCTGCCCCAGCCCTTGGGGACCTACATGGAATCACCTGCTGGAGCAGGTTCCACAGATGGGCTGATGGGGCAGGCCAAGGTGCTTCCCCTCCACGTTTTGAGTGTCTGGGGCAGTCACTGAACACAGAGCAGTTACAAGGACACAGGGGCTGCTCCTCCAAGTGACCAAACACCTCGAGATCACCAGAATGGTCTCAACGGGACAGAGGAGCTGTTTCAGGGCAGGGTCCAGGCAGGGCTCTTGGGCAGTGTCTCTGGGTGTCTCCCTCTGCAGAGGTTTCATTCGGAGGGCGAGGGACGTCTCCTGCTGCCAGGCAGGTTCTGGCCTCCCCCTTGTGGCAATCCCCATCAGTACCTCTCTTTTCCAAGTCGTGGAGACGCTGCAGCCAGAAGCTCCGGTAGGGAGCAATTCCGGTTCCTGAGCCGATCAGGAGGCACGGCCTGCTTGGCTCCTTCGGGAGATGGAATTCGTTGGCACTAAAATGCAGAGCGACGTTAATGATGCCATTAGTCGATGTGAGAGCTCAGTGCCTGCGTCCTGACTGACTGTCAGCAGCACAACCGAAGTCACCAGTCTGATTTTACTCAATGCAAGACAAGGTACAGGATCCCATCGCTGGAGGATGAGGAATTCCCTCTCCTCACACTCAGATATTCCAACCTGCACTCACCACTCCCTTGAGAACCATATGCACCCAGTGAAAAACCCACTGAAGAAGCTGACCTCAGAACCACTGCGTTCTGTTTCTGTCCCTGTTTCTCTGTCAGACACTCACCTGCGTACAAAGCACGGAACCATTTCACTGAGAGCTATTGTGTTCAGCCACGTGCTGCAAACTCCATGGTGCAAAGGCCCTTGTCCATCTGCTCAGAGCAAGGGAAAACATCTGTCAGTTCTAAAGCTCTCTCATCTAAAAAGACAGATTTTACACCTAAAATTATGGGTTTTAAATAAGTAATATAAGGAATAAGTAATGTCTAGTAATGATTTATAGAACAAGGATACGCTGATGATGATGCCCACCCTGACACAGTATGAACATCTGCACTGCAGTACACTGCTCTGTATGTATCACAATACAAACTTGTTGCTGTAGGTATGCTTCATGCCATATGGCAGAGACAGTTAATTCCTGCACCTCAATGCAGCCTAAACATCATTTAATTCAGAGAGAAGTGAAACCAAATGTCCTCACCTCTTGTCCTGTAGTTTACAACTGCAACTGTCAGATGAATCTCTCTGGCTGTCAGGTCACAGGAGGAGCTCACAGAATAGTACCTGGGTTTCAGGAGCGGCAGCTGAGTCAGGAGGAAAGCTGTTGAGACCTCAGCAGAGGGAAACTCCTCCAGCACCTCCAGGATGTTCGGGCTGTTGTAAAACTTCCACTTATTGTATTCTTCTGTGCTCTAAAAGCCAAAATCCACCATGACAACGTTAGCAGGTCATTCACACTGAGATCAGGAGAGCAGGGAGACCTGCAATGTCATTTATATATAAGCTTTCTGCCTTATGTTCAATGAAATGTGCAGGCAAATCACGAGAGAGCTCTCAAAACTTTGCCTAAAGTGACACTGGGGTTCCCTAAGGAGCCGTTTCATTTTTGAACACAGAGGTACAGACACCTGCTATGACCTTCTCAGATACCAGCTCACTCAGTGTGGATGTAGAGACTGAGCCTGTTTCTGAGCCCCCTGCTAGGGGGCATCCACAACACTATGGGCCCAGGCCCTGATACCTCCTGGGCCTCACTGAGCCCAGCAGGAGAAGCAAGCCCTTACACACCAGTGGTTACCAGGCTGGTTACTGGTGTGTAAGTCCCTCTTAGTGCATGGTACCAAATCCTCTGGCAAAAATACCTACCCTCTCCCCTGCAGCCCCTCCACCTGCCAGCTGTGAGCTGTTCTAGTGGCACATCACCAGGAACCACCAGGAGGAAGCACGAGACATGGGCAGGCAAAACAACCCACCCAGAGCCCCACAGGAAATGCCAGATCTGAAGACATCTGGATTCCCACACCCAAGTGAGCCACAAGACCAGCCCTTCTCTCTGTGGTTGGCTTTACAGGCACACAGAACATGTAACAGAGGCATAAAATCAGGCACCATCACTACAAAACTCCTTAGCTTCTGCTGCACAATGAAAGGGCATCACATGGCCCAGTGCACTGTCTCCTAATGTAAACGTAGCCCTAACACTTACCTGACACAAAACTTCCAGCCTCTGTTTGTCTCCCTCTGCTGTTACCAGCTGGGAGAGCTTCTTCAGCAGCTGCTGGGAGGGTGGAGTGGTGATGTCAAGCAGGTACATCAGTGCCTCGGGCAGCGTGCAGGCTGGAAGCCTCTTGTCCCTTGTCCAGCAGCCACCTGGAAACCAGGGAAACAAAGGAACACTTCTCAGTTCCCACGGCATTTGACACCTGCAGAGCTTTACAAAACTCGGTGTCCTTCACTTCAGATGAGGCTGCAGCAGGTCTGGACCACAGGGCCCTTCTGAAGAGACGTTAGTGTGAGGCTTCAGACTTTTGGAAGGGGAGGCTCTGGTGCAGAGAACTGCATGATAGCAAAACACCACTTCAAAATGAAGTTTTCCATCTGAACACATCATCTTTCTGGGTGTCAGAATGCTATGATTTGGCAGATTGCTCCTACTAAGATGGAAAGATGGTCACAACATGCAAATCTATTTTAGGACTCATACATAGCAACAATAAGCAAACTCTGTTTAATTGCAGTCAGTGGCCAATTCAGCGACTGAGTTACATTGTCAACCCAGGATAACTCTGCAAACGCTGGTGCAGTTACCATGGGCTGCCAGAGTGTGCACACTCAGATTGAGAGTTGTAAGAGTAACTAAAAGCTTCCACAAAATCCTATTGAAACTTAAGAAAAGGATGATATAGAAAATTCAGTCTATAAAACTTCTCAGGAACTGCAGAGAAATCTGTCAAACATCCTCTGCTATTTGATCTGAAGAGAACCAACTTACCCCTGGTGCAGGTTTCAAGTCTGACAGTCTGGTCAGCTGGAGGAGCATCCTTGACGTGTGCAATGAGGCCATGGACTAATTCTGGCTGGTTGCCTGGGAAAATCCCGATGTGTTCTCCAGGCAGGTAGCGCACTTCCCGATCAGTCTCACAGGAAAGCTTGACTAGAATGGTAACACGGCTGGGTAGAGAGGAAAGAGATCAGACACATCTCGGTTACGTGGACAGGATTTCCCTTGAGTTGCACCGAACAGGAATAAATCTGAGGTGGCAGCTGGCAAGAGCTTACTTGTGTTCAGCACCAAACCAGCAGAGCAGCTCAGCAGAGATCAAAGGGCTGTATCACAAAGTTTTTTATTCCCCTACATTCATAGGCCCTAATGCGAAGCCACCTCTTACTTAAGCCAGAATTAAGATTGTATGTATGACTGTGGACTTGTGATAATGATTTACTTCTAATGACCATTTGAAACTTGTATGTATTTCTCAATAACTGCAGGAGAAGATGTCTATAACCAGACATTTCAGATGTTTAAGACTGCAGTAAAATGTAGTATGGCAATATTCAGAAGACTGAGGTACCACACCTGGATTTTAAACTTTGAAGATTCTGCCTGAACTTCAGCTTCATGGGAATGATATCCTTGCTGTGAATGCTTGCAAGTGCTGTTGAGAAAAGAGGACATGGACATGACTCATGGGAATTTTGTGATAAGGTTTGTTTAAAAGGTCATCAAACAACGTGCAGAAAAGACCTGAACCATGCTCCCCTAGAATTAGTCACCCATGTGTCCTGTGTGCATGATGCCTTCCCTGACTAAAAGTACTTCATCTCAGCTTTTGTTCTTCTGGGTCTGTCAAATGTATCCTAGTTCTGGTGTTCCGATGGAAAAGATAATGATTAATGCAATGGAAAGCAATGTCTTTTTTTTCTCTGACCACTGCACTTCATTACATGCATTCTACCACCTAGCAGGACCAATGTCACTGTATAAACCTTTCCAGTTCAGACCTATCTGAAGCAAAATGGACAGAGAAGGCGAGACGTGGGAGGTAATACCTTTAGTCAAGACCATGGTTTGAGAGTCATGCACTATCCTGTAATTCTTAGGATCCCAGCTTTCATCAGAGGTATAAATCTCAGGCAACTGAATACTGGCTTTGCCCTGGATGTTGTAAATGTCACAGGCAGTCTAGAACAAAGAAAAAGAATGCTATTCATAAGGATAATAGAAAAAAATCTTAGTGCTGCATTGAGGAGAACTCAGTGCTAATTTTATTGATTCTATTGAGTTTAGTGACGTGACAGGGATTCAGAAAGGTTCCACTTCTAGACCAGTATAGCTAAAACCCAATCTACTTCCAAAACTCCTGATGTTTGATGCTGAATGTTCATCCTGAACATTCCACTATCGCAAAGGAGCTTTATGTGAGTATCAAAAAATAAAGAGAAAAGGGGCCCAGTTCCCTCTTCAACTTGGGCAAGCAGTATAAAAAGGGGAGTTCAAAACTCAAATATAAATCCAGTTGTTTGCTTTCCTTCATTCCCCCCCCATTTTTATGGAGGCCAGTGAATACTGAAATAAAAGGAATGAATGAACAAACTAAAATATGAGCTATTTATGTGGTCACCTTGAATGCAGAGACTGCCCATGAGCGAAAGGCTTCTTCTTGCCCACCAAGTTCATCTCCTTCACCTATTGGAGTGAGCTGAGAAGCCCCAAGTTGGGCCAGTTTTTGGTCAATGGTATGAGCAAAGGCACAGAACTCCGGATACATGCTGGAGCCCAAACCAAACACAGCGTATCTGCAGGAGGAGATACAAGAAAGACCACTGTGTTATGCTAAATGAAATGCAAAAGGACTCAATCACGTGCAAATCAAACAACAAAGTGTTCTACCTGATCTTTTTTCTCAGTGATTTCAGGGTGAGCAAGGAGTTCTTCAAAGTCTGTATGAAAATCCATAAAATACTTCAGGTTAGAAAAATACTCTGATTTAAAATAGAACTGAGACCCTGATCTATATCTTTCTTAAGTACATGGGGTAAAAGAAAGGGTTGTCTTTGGTCTTAGTGTTTGAGTTGAGCCCCATACACACTTCTGAGGTGAATATTACCTTTCCATTATTTGGAGAACCTCCATTGCCAAAAGTGCTGGTAACCACTAACAGAAGTGTTTCTTTTTCCAGGTCACGAATGTTGTACTCATCCATGCACAGAATCTGGAAGGTATAAAGCTCATGAGAAACTGCTGGCAGACATAAGAACCAGCATTAGATATCCCTGGTTGTCAGATGACCACTGACCACGTTTACAAGGTGCAACGTTAAATTAATACAAAATCAAAGTCCCAATCCAACTTGTATTTACTGAATGTTCAAAACATAGGTTTAGGGAATGAAAAGGCTTGCAGAAGCTGATGACACCAGCCAAACATCTTCCTCCATTTAGTGTGGATGATTAAGGCTTTCTTACCTTGGTGCTGAAGGCACAGTTGAACAAGCTGCACAGATTGTTGGCGAGTGTTTCAGATTTCCCAGTCTCTGTTGCATAGATTACAGTGACCTTGGTCCTGGCTGCCATCGTTCGTTGCATGAGTGAAGATGCAAAGAGGACAGCCCTGGGGAAAAATAATCACACACAATTCTTTATATAAACAGTAATTCAAATTGACTCACAACCAAGCTAGGAAATACTGAACTTGAGCGTGGTTTTACCTTGGAAGATTGTTCAGAAGCACTAGGGATAGCCCTGAGTAAGAATCTTAGATATTAATATTACCTAACCAAGGCAGGTAAGCCTATGATTCAACAATTCAAGTGGTCCCCACTGTAATTATTAGTATTAAAAAAACAACCAAGGTGAAACAGAAACATCACAAGAACTGAAGAGTTGGACAAAATGAGGATTCTTATTTGAACAACTTACTTGGCCAAGATGCTAAACTTGATTTCCTTTTTCTTTGGCCTCCGGGTCTCATCATGCCAGACATGTGTTTTCCATGCATCCACCTTTAAAAACAGGAAAAAGTTAAGCTTGAGGTAAGAAATGTGGAACAATAAAAACACGATGTGTATTTATGAATCTCTCTGGTGAGCTTTCATTAACCAGGGCTTTTCATTTGGATTTCGGAATGAAATATTATTGTATCTGCACTGCTGAAGTTGGCCACTAGAATCATCGTTTTTGGCTAATGTGTACCTGGTAGTAATAGAAGGGAGTGAGGACATAGTTCAGCATCTCCTGATGGAAGACAGGAGTTATGCTCCCTGATATGGGAGGTACGATCCACACCCAATCAGCTGGGCAGCCTCCTCGTGCACGGTACTCATTCTGCATGTACTTCATGAAGGACTCAGCAGCTGAGTGGTGATCCATGATGGTCACATTCTGTTTCTAGAATTGCAAAAACACAGACATACATTAAAAATCCCATTCTGCTCCTCTTCCTGATGTACTCCTTTTGCTTTGGTTACTATTTAAAGGACTATATTCAGTGCTGGGAAATAATTACTATCAGCAACTACGATACAGATACAGATAGAGATGGACCTTTGATTCAGGACTCTTAGCCCCTCCCTTTTTTTATCACATCAGCATTTTACCTCTCCAGCACTGGAGCACACGCTGAAAAGCCCTGGATTCCTTTTTACCCATCTTTCATATTGTTATGATATGTTAAATAAGCTGTAATGGCAAATAAAAGATATTCATCCAATAGCTTTACATAGATTCTGAGACTTGTATTAAAAGGATGAGCAATTTTGCCCTTCACTTCCTTTTCTTTTTCTCTCTTTTCTGCCTTCACCTGAGATTGTTTTCTGTCAATAACAGGAAATACAGATTCCTCTGCTTTCCCAGGTGTAAATCAAGAATAACCCTTTCAGAATCATTTGATAACCTCCCTTGAGCATTGTCCACTGGCACTGTATTTGTATAAAGCTGTTATAAGTGAGAGGAAAAATAGGCACCCAATAGTCAGTGTCTCTCCAGATACCACACTCGTTGACTTACTTGGAAGCTGTAAAGCACAGCCACATTTATCTCTACAACAGCTCGGTCTTTCCACAGTGATGAAAGTTTGTTTGTTTCCAGTCCCATTCTCCTCCCCACCTCCTATATGTGAAAAACAGACAGAAAAGAGAACAGCAAATTTATTATGTGGGACTTAGACCTCATGATTTCTCCACCTCAACACACTAATATGCAGGAAAATGTACTGCAGAAGGGGGAAGAGGTAACTTGAATTATGAGTTTGGTAAAGCAGAGAGTGATTTTCTCCTGGACTAAACAGGTTAAAAAGTGGCAGTTTCTGGTTATAAGCCATCATTTTTAATTCGCGTTGGTGAAGTGCCCAAGACCTGCAGTTATCCACCAGGAATGCCATGTCAACAGCAGACTGGAACTGACAGAAATGCACCTCTGAGAAACGTCAGAGACCAGAAGTCCTGAATCAGCAGGACTCAGGGTCAAATCAGGGAAGAATTCCCTTTGGACACCATATTCTGTATTTTTTACAGCTGCAGGTTCGCCATTCTATCCAGCTGCTTGGAACAGACACTGTCAGGACACTGTAAACCAGCCACACAATCTGGCATGGTGATCTGGGCAGAAGTTCAACATGTCCCACAATAACCGGGGTGTTGTGTTAGATTAGTGCTGAAGTGTGTGATGTAAACACAGCACCCGACCCAGCACAGGCTGACGGCGTCTCTTCTCAGAAGCCACCACCCACCAAGTGTGATCACAAACCAGCACACCCCCCTTCAGAACGTTACCTTCAGGATGTTGTACCGCTGCACGTCGCAGAAGTCCCGCACTCCAATCTCTGAGCCCATGTACCAGCCATTGAAAGGACATGCAGTGAACTCCACGCCTCCCACCTCAAGCAGCATGTTGGCGACAGCAGGCAGCGCATACCACTTCAGATCTAGCTCCTTAAACCATTCATACCTGTTAAACAAGCATTTTGATCACTTTATGTGTCTTTTCCCCCTTTAGGCAATACCCAGAAAAGTCCAGGTAGATAAAGAGTACTAGCTCTAGGAGAAATGACCTGTGAAGCACAGTCTGCAAAAGCTCAGAGCAGTTTCCCTTTACAGTGTGGTAACTGGGTCTCTCAGGACTATTTACCATCGTCTCACCCTAACAAAGAACTCATAAAATGACTGATAACCTGCCAAGGTGAGGCAGAGGCAGAAATGCAATTATCTAAATCTTGCTGCTTACTTTGGATGCTCCATTGGAACTTCGAGGACAATTTCTGGCGGGATCTCAAATATTTCTGGGTCTTGGCCGTTTGCTTGCAGAACAAGGGGAACTACATCAAAGCGGCCGTATTTCGGCTTCCACCCAAGCTCAATGCAGAGCTGTAAATAAAGAAAGTACATTTTGGGGGGTTTTAGGTTGGTTGCCCCCCCCCACATTCAAAGACAAAAGGATGTTAACCTTTAAAAGGTAGCTCTAAAAGCTGCTGGGGTAAATTCTAAGTGGTAAAGGTTATCTTTCTCATTCAAACAATGTTGAGGCATGTTGTTCAAGTACTAACTGTGTCCCTGACTTAAGGGAGGCATTAGCTCACCCTGTTCTGAGGTGAAGGGGAGTATTCTTGTATCAGGATTGCAGGAAATTATTGCTTCAGCCTGCACCTAAAACCTGTGGGGCAGAACATGCCACTGACTCCTCACCACCACATTTCCCTCCCCTCTGCATAAACATGCAAGGAAAAAGCATAAAAGACAGATGGGTCAGACAGAGGGAAAGCAGCTGGGGCTCTGTATGTACCTGTGTGAACTCCACGCTGGCAGGGTCTCCGATGACAGACCCATCTGGCATCTGATACCCAGCGTATCGGATGAGCTGGCTGTTCCAAACACGGAAATCGTGTTTCCCATCAGTCCTCTGGGGGAAGACAGTGATGGCTGATCTGTCCAGAGAAACAATCAAACCCCCTTACAGCACAGCAGCACACCAAACGCATTCTACTTACTGAGGCAGAAAGTGTTGCCAACAGCATTTACTTTATATTTCTGAAACACCAGTAGCAAATCATTCCTCTTCTCTCCTCACTGCTCTCAGTCTTCAAATCATCCCTATCCTTCAGGAATTACAAAAGGCTTTGCAACATGAGCCATGAAAGTTACAGATTTTCAAGCTGGTTGATGGTACTAGAGAGGAACATGCAGTACCAGGAGGAGAACAGCAGAAACAAGTTGTCAAATATTCAGATAGACCATTGCAGGTTTTAGGTGGAGTTCTGAATCCAGAACTGGATGTGAACTCTGTTGTTTAAAATGAAATTGAAGAGATTTACCTTATATTTCCATTGTTGGTGGCATACTGAATATGACGACAGAGATGTTCAAACATTTCCTTTGCTGTTTTACAATCACGTGCATCAAACACCTGCAAGTTTCCAAAAGAAACATAGAGGAAAAAAAAGTGATTTGGAAACAGTAATGTAAGCTTAGTATTTTCCTTATGCATTTAAGGAAAGATTAAGGAAAGAAGTAAAGTGAAAAATGTCAGTGTTTCTCAGTTTAATTGCAGCTCCACAGGTATCTCATGGTACGTACAGGAGGGAGCAGTGTCCTCAGTTGAAGCAACTGCCATATTTTACCAATACGTGCACAGGCCTACAGCACATCACTATTAAACCCATGATGTCCAGACTCCTCGGTTACCTGTAGATTGGACCACTGGATCCTCCCAATGCACCTGGGTGCATTCCTCCAGGCCTGCTTAGCAGCAAAGATCAGTTCCTCCTTAGTCAGATGGTAGGTTCCTGTTGTTTCTATCTCCCTGGTCACTGTTTCCAGTCGGGCCAGGTGCTCATCTATTTTTGGCTTTCTGAATAGGAAACAGACACACAAAGACACAATGAGGACTTCATTGCTTAGATCTGATCTAAATTGCAGACGTTCTCATTGAGTTCTGGGTCAAGAGAAGCACAGGCATTGTTGAAGCCATAAAGTTTTGGAGTATCCTTTTGCATGAGATGACTTCTACTGACATCACTGATTTTCTCTGCCAGAATGCAGGTAGAGCAAACTTCTGGGGAGGGGATTGGCACTGACGTAGGTTGAGATATGATTGTTATCAAAAAGCAGGGGTTTTCTAGCTAAAGGGATGAGTTGAGTGCATAGGACTGACTGAGGACTGCTGAGAACTGTTCCTGGCTTCAGAATTTAGGAACTGCCCTTATTGAGGGCAAACAACAGAGCTCACTAGTCTAATGAGGTAACTTAACACAGTATTTAAGCAGCCTCACCCCCCTTTCACCCCCCCAGCACATACATGGATTGATCAGAAGACTTTCTGTGTAAGTTTTCAGTTTAAATTGGGTTTTCTAGATTAGTTTGGAAAAAAATTGTCAAATGACAAGCAAATGAACAGCGGAGAACAGGCTGGCTCCAGCCAAAAGTGGGATTAGAGTGACTGTCCTCTCAAAGTTCTATTATTTTTACAGGGACACAGGCCTTCTGAGCAAGGCAAGTAGGATTTTCATTCCTAAAGGGAAGTGCTGATTAATTCCTTTGTCAGTGAAACCAACTCTAAAATTCTTTAGTTGATAACAGAGAATGAAGTCAAAATATTAGGAAATATTTATCACAGCACAGACAAAAATCGTTTTGTTGGCTCACAGACACAATGAAAACAGCCTGCACTGTCTGAGAGTTTCACATTTGCAACAAGATGAAAGATCAAGGGCAAGCATGTAAGATAGTGTAAATCAGTGTGATCAAATAGCCATGAGCAGAAACACAGCAATGTGCAAATGTAATACGCTGGCGAGTGAGTACAGCCTGTGTGTAAGACGGACTTTCAGAAAGATCCACATGGAAGAAAGCTTTGTAGAAGGAGTTCAAAGTGTCTAAAGAAGCAGCTATTATGTGGCTGAGCCCCTTTGAAAGTTTGATAATGTTTTACAATAGGATGAGCAAACACTGAATTGTCAATTGAAAGCTCATCATGTGAAATGGCACTGCAAACTCTTGGACCTCAACCTGATGTTCCAGCTCTTCCTGCAACAAGATGTCTCTGCACCATGCCCATTTTCACCAGAACAAGCCTCTTCTGAAGCTACAGCGCACCTCTCAGCATGCTCAGCAAGCTTATGCTGATGATAGCACAGAGTAAGGTTGAGAAGCAAGAGACTGGCCTTCCAATCTTTGGCTAAAGCCTTGAGAGTCAAACAGAACAAAAGAACACAAAGATACTTGGAACAGCACAAATGAAAAACATTATGCACATATTTCACATCTAGGTCTGATCTGAGTAGGAGCTAATCCCAACAACATCCACTGTTAAGGAAACAGTGACATTCTGTAAGAGTCCTGACCAAGCTGCTTATTACAAATGATTACATAATGTAACACCCTGAGAAGGGAGAGGGCTGAGGAATGCACTGTGCAGAGTTCATTCCTGTACTCCCAAGGCTGCGGATTGGCAGACAGAGCATATGAAGTGCAATAATAGTTTTCTTTCATTTTCCTAATAGTCCTTATCTATTTTTTGAATGCATGCTATGGAACAGGATGGTCACCCATAGCCATGAGGAAACCCAAGCACTCCCCTACAGTCTCACAGACTGGTGGGTAGGGAGAGGAGTTTAAATGAAAACTGAAGGTAAAGCTGCCTTACTCTTTAAATGAATTGTAGTACTGCTTGATGAAGTCTATTGCCTGAGGTAAGAGCTCTGCTGGTGGAACTGGCTCATCTCGAGTACCTCTCACCAGGCCCTTTGGGGTCATGAGTGCCCCTTGGCAGGCTTTGGTCCGGCAGTTGATAACCTGAAAACCAAGAAAACGTCAAAACCCAAGGCTGCACTCTGTATCTTGTCAAGGTTATGAAAAGCCACTGTTCAGGTCTCCAGATCTTACCTCCTTCGCTGTCAGGTGCAGTGTGTCAAGAAAGCTGGAGCCATTTTCCAAGTTTCTTACTTTTACATGTCTTGGACATCTTGATACTTGGTTTGAAGCTTTGATACCATTCTGGGAGGGGTTCTGGACAGAGAAAAGATAAAAACACTTCCTATCTTCAGACCTACTGAATATCTTACAGCTTCATTTTAAATTTGCCATTTTAAATTCACTTTAAATCTGCCACTGCAAACACCTTTATAATTTCAGTAAGGACTCTTAATAGTCACAGTCTCACAAAAACAGTGAACCAGACTATTTTAGAGAAAGGCTGGGTTTTCAAAGGTGAATAAAGGAGCCAGGCACTTCAGTCCCCACCGGGTCACCTCCCTCCCTTAAGTCTTACCAAAGCTCCTTTATGTGCAGACAAGATCTTGCATCCAAATATCTCACAGCAGTCCTAACCTCATGTAACTACAGTCAGTCCTCACAGGAGAACTGTGAGAAGCTTTGAGCAGCAAGCACAACCCGTCTGAACTGTTATTATCAAACAATGATGATAGAAACAGACCTCTCTGCCATCAGTGGCCTTTGCTGAAGTTACAGGTGGCATCTCTATCCACTTCTTGCTCAGATCATACAATTTGGCATCGCCATTTTCTAAGCTTTAAAAGAGAGAAAGACAATTCAGTATAATGCAATGTACCAGTTTTTGTTAGTTTTACCTCCAGCATCAGTAGAGGATGCTCAGAGCTGCCGCTGAAAGATGCACTGAGTCCATCAGCCAACCAAGCAGCATGAGGGGTGGAGTGGACTAGAAATCAGTAGTAAAGGTATGATAACCCTTTTCAGATCACTATGTGGAAAGAAAAACAACAGATATGGCCTGGAATGGTAAAGGTTGAGTATCCTTGCTGTAAGCTAAACAAAGGACATCTGTACAATTATGATCTGGCCAAAAAATACTCAGAGGAATTAAACAAAGAGGTTGAAATCTTTGGGAAATGTGTGAAAAGAGCAGCTAGGTCCAATCTCCAGCCCATTAAGCAAATAACATAGTTTGATATTAATTTCCTTTTGTTTCTGCATTAAGCCTTACCTTCTGAACTCCTGCTTTTCAATTTGGGTAGGGGAATGGGCAGAGAAAGAAACAAAATGCAACAGAAAACTGAAATAAGTAACAGCCTGAGAACTGAGAGATTCAACATGAATGTGTCACTTATTTTATTCAGTGTCTTGTAAAAACAGTATAAACATCAACTGAATTAAAGCATTAATAACCACTCTGCTAACTTTTACAGCAGACACATGCCTCCTAAGTCCTAGCATACGTGAAACCTTCCTAATACACCAAATAAATCTAGAGCTGTGAAAGAGAAAGGAAGATGATTTATTTCCTCAATGACTGCATAACCTAGACACAAAAGCTTAAAGTACCTGACCAAATCATCACCACCCAGCGGCTCCCTGGGACAACTGTTCTTTGGTTAATATTATTGCATTGGAAACACAGTACAGGGCTGCAGAACCCATGACACTTAACATCTTCCTTTGCCAAATGGAAGAGAAACTGAAACGGTTAAAAGACGGTAAGAGATCTTACCCGTGGCTCTTCCTATCCACGTTATTATTGATGTCCTTCTCTGCAGAAGACTGGCTCTTACCAGCACGAGGTCTGAATGCAAACTGCCATGGGCACAGCATTGTGTATGCTTTGTTTATGGTTTTAGTTCAGTGCTGAAATCTTGTTTTGTGTGATGTGGAAACACTTCTGAGGAGGGAAAAAACCCAACAAGGTCAGCTTTTATCTAAGAAGGCAACTCTTTAAAACTGCTCAAACCCACCACCTAACAGACCTCATGTAGTTAATATCCTGTTTTTAAAACGAAACCTGCTTGACTCAGAGGACTGATGCTGAAACTGCCAGCTCTCTTTGTAATGCTGCAGCCACACCTCCTTCTGAAATACTGCAAGAGAATTTCAGCTGTCCCACAGGTGATAAACCAGCAAACACCAGTGTCTGAGAAAACCACACATGTGCTTTGCTTGTATGAAAAACACCCTCTGACACTTGACACTTTCTTTTGTAAGTTGTGTTTTTCAGAAGCTCCCTAAGGGTCATTAAACCTTCTGTAAATTCACATCACTATACGATAGCTGGGAAAAGGGATGAAAATTGTTGCTGTTATTCTCATAGGTCTGTAATTCAATCAAAAGGTTTTGCAATTTATTGATCTGCCAGAGACTAATGGAGCTCTGAGATTCTGTATTTTGTAAGATGTATACGTGTATTTAAATAATAGAAAGCATTTACCTAAGAATATAAGAAGGTTAATGTTATTCATTTTAACATACATTTTCTGATAGTTTCTCATCCTACAATGGATTCTTGAATTTGAAGAAAAGGAGCAGACTAGTTCAGACAAGGTAAAGCAGAATCAGCCCCAGCAGGTTCATAGCACAAATCAAAATCTGATGTTTCCAAATAGTTAAAGAAAGAAAATATACATTGCCATGTATATACAAATACACACTGTCTGTTACTCCAAGTAAAAGAAACAGTGTGCAATGAGCATTTCTCTACGGTTACAAAATAGGAACAAATCTAAATTCCTATTCTGCAATAAAATACTGCAGTGTGCCTATACATTTCTGTAAAACACAGGGAAAGAGAGAAGGAAAAAACAGGGAGAGAGAGAGAGAAAGAAAAAAGTAAAGACTGAATGAGAGAAAGAAAAATCAGTAGAAAAAATAATAAGAAAGATTAAAAGTAAAAGTAATAAGAGGAAAAATAAAAATCATAACAAAATAAACAGAAGAAAACCAAAGATGAAGACCCCCATTTTTCATGCATTTCTGAGCATTCAGAGTAAGAACTTGTTCTTCGTGTTCTCCACAACATAGTCCTTTAAATAATATTTTATAACATTACCTGTTACATGCACAAACCTTCAAATCAGCAGAAAGGGAGGTAAAGTTTCCAGAGCAGCAAAACAGCTGGAATAGAGCAGGAAACTGATTCCAACACTTCACTCCTAATACAGAAAAGTAAACAAAACAAGACAATTTGCCACATAATTACTCCACCTGTGAGCTGCAGCACACAGTGGCAAACCCAGCACAGGGACTCGGCGCTGTCCTACCGTGCTTTGCGAAGAACTTCCCCAGCCCTGTCAGGAGATCGTCTTTGCTGTCAAAGTTCCTTCCCTTTAATCTCCCGGGCTCTGTATCTCTCCTGTGAGACAAATGCATTTTATACGTGAGGACCATGTATGCAAAACAGCAGAGTGAGGCTACACACGGGTAGTGGACAGAAGGGGAATCCCAAAGTGTGCTGCATTTCCTTCAGAGCCCAAGCGGCGTGCGGCTGCTTCTCTATTACAAAACATGCATGATGGGAGGAGGGAGAGCAGCCACCGGTGTTTGGTGTTGGGAGCATCTCCTCCTTCAGGCTCAGCATGCTGTAACCTTTACCTCTGTGTGCTCTGTGACAAGGACACCGTATCACACTGAGCAGCTTTTGCATCCTGACAGGCAGTGTTAAAATAGGGAAAAACAAAGGAATCCTTGAAGCACTGTTACAGATCTCATCACCGGATGGCTGTTCTCCTGCACATCAAACTCACAGCTGTAGAAAGAGAGTGAGCAACCTCAAGAGAAACTTTACAGAACCATAGAGCTTTAGGATATGGGCCAGTAAAGCACTTAAACATTATATTTATACATTATAATTGATTCTATTAGAATTGATGATTGATTAGGACTAAGGACAGGTATTTTAAATTTTACATAACATCCCTTATTTTCGATCATGCGTCTTTCTCAATATTTTCCTCTCCAAAACTCCCTGTTCTATCTGTTGCTGCCTGAGGCTTGTCCCTTTGTGCTTTTCCAACGTACTGGAAAAACTTGAAGGAAACTGCAACTCCTTGAAGTCTAAACTATTCAAACCATGCTGCATGTGTGAATGCCAGAAGGACAGCTAGATGATGGAGACAGCGTTATGTAACTGACTGACAACTTCAGACAGCACGTGGACACTCACGCATTACAAAACCAGGTTTCTCCCTGAAGCCTGAAAGCCACAAGCAGCCCTGGAGCCAGGGCTGGCACAGAGTGCTGCCAGGCAACTGTGGACTCCGGAGTGCTGTGGTGTGGCAGGACACCCCCAAGGATACCTGATATTGCTCATGGATGTTATGTATGAGCTATCATACATAACATTATCACGTTACAGACAATTCTTAAGTCCGCTGACTAATACAAGGTCAAAATCCTCACAATGACTAGAAAAAGGTTTACAGGTGCTGATCAAAGATCTATAGAAATAAGCTATAAAGCTTCAAGAGAAACAAGGAAATGCACACGAAATATTCATTTGTCATATTTTCAGTGGACAAGCTTGGGCAAGGCATTTTCTTCTTTCTGTGTCTAGTCTGTCTATTTAAAAAGTCAGTGCTTGTATAAAGCCCTCCTAGAGCTAAAACCAGGTTATGGGTACACGTGTTCAGGTGTGAATACACTGTACACATCCCACCCAGGGTTGCTTGAGATGAATCTCTTGAAAAATAGACCAGAGTTTTCTGTAGTTTGAGCATTCACCTGCTTGTATCAGCCCATGCTCATGAACGTTCTCACTCCGACCTGTTTTATCTTCACATGACGCCCTTCCTTGCACTGGAATTATCACTTGACATCCCTTGTTTAAAATACTCCAGACATCTAATCAGTGGGCAGGAATAATGCGTGAGCTGTGCGTGACCCAATGCCATGCTACAAACTTTTACCTTGCTTCTGACCCACGACAGCTCTTCCCAAATCATACAGGCAGTTGTAATTGCTTGATTGTGGGTACAACCCCATGTATCTCAAGGGTCAAATTGAAAGTGCTTGAGCTGAAAGCAAAATTCAGAGTTCAAAGAACAAAGTTACACTCTTCTTTGTATTTGCTGTTTTGTCAGGTTATAAAGATTCTATTTGCATCTTTCCCTTTCTTACTAGATCTGAACTCTCATTTCTACAGAACAGGAGGAATCTTAACATCTAGTACTTTAAAAAATAATGTATCTTAGAAATTTAAGTGAATTATATATTATATTATATTATATGCAATAGTTTCTAAGCTTTTATTATTCAGCCTTTTATTTCCCTGTGCTTGGAGACTGCTGAAATCAAGCAAAGGCTCTGTAGGGACAGCATATGAAAAATCACATTTGGAATGACCAGAGGAGAAACATCTTCTTTGCATTCAGAGAACAGCTTCATCATTCCAGTTTTCCAAGCAGAACCTGCTTTTTACTCACCAAACTCAACAGGAAAACTCCCTTTGTATAACACCACCAAGAGAGCACAATTAATTCCTCAGGTGGAGCCAGAGATTACCTAAACACTGACTGTCCACTCCTTCTACAAATACACCACACTGCTTGGAAAGTTCTTCCCACAGAACCCCAATCCCACACCTATTTCCTATTTTTGCACAGCCACTTCTGCCTCTGCCATAGCAAAATGCAAGAACTAGCTGCTTTTCTTGCATTAACTTTGATGAAAGAGGTGCCCTTTTGGAGCAGAATGTCTGACCTATTCAACAGCATTCTGACCACGCTGTCATTTTGACTTAAATTGTGTTTTGCTTCTGAGAATGTGATGGTCTGTAGCCTCAATGATAAGCAAGTCATATTCTTTGTCTGACTGCAATATTCTGCATCAGCTCAAGAAGTTCTATCCTTAAAAACATTTAAAAAACAACTGTTTGTAGGGTTGCTCCCTAAGATCAGGACACCTTGAGCCTTCAAAGAACTATTACACTGAGGCAAAGCTGATGACAGCAAGGGCTGATTTTCCTGACTTGATGGAACCCTAAAGAGAGGATGCTCAATTGTCCCACATCTCATAAATGACAAGTGATTTTTTCTAGCTCCCTTTTCCTATCCAATCCAACTATTTTCTATGTGAGGAACCTTCAAGATGATCTTTCAGAGACATCATATATGTCATCACAAATTCAAAATAGAACCTTGCAGGCACCTAAAAGTACTTGGCAGCTTCTAAGATTGGTGAAGACGCCCCATGCTCCTCGGGCGATAGGGATGAAGCACTCTGCATTTACAAACTGATGTCTCTGCTCCTTGAGCATTTCCTTTTCCTGTGGAAACCTACTCTGCTTCCTGCTTTAGCCCATTTCATTAACTTCCCTGGCTGAACAGGAAATTTGGTCCTTAAAGTACCAGTAACACAGAATCATTATAAAAGGATTGAGAAGGACCCCACAGAGCACTCGCTCCAGCACCCTGCCCATCAGCAAGGTCAGCTGGAAGGAAGATATTTTTGAGCTACCAGAAAACAATTCCAACTCAGTAGAAGGGGCAGGAGCTGCCCAGTAACCTGGGATGAGACACCAAAGAGTAAGAGCACCAGTCAAAATGGAGCCAGGTCACAAAGACTATTTACAGCTCAGAAATGAACTCATGCTTCTCAGTAAAGTGCTCGCTACTTCTTTCACGTAGCCACTGTGTGGTACAAATGACTTCACTGATTTGGTCCATCAGGAACATTCATTCACTTTCTATCCCTTTCTGGGCTGCAGTGCTGCTTTCTCAGACTTCAGTCACATTTTCCAGCTTGCTATCACTTAACGGCAGGACAGGCATCATTTCCCAGCAACACTTCAGCATCTACTACATCCTTCAAAAGTTATTTTAAGACAAGTTTTGTCTCTTTGTGCTGTATCCAGTGCCTGGTCCAATGGGGCACTGAGCCACAGGAAACCTCTCTGCACTGTTTCAAATCCAAGGTAAATAAATGCATAAATGATGACAATGGTGAGGGTTTGTGTCAGGGTGGTGCTAGACCTGGGGCAGTATCAACACCTCTCAGTTTGCTGGCGACCTTTCACTGCTCATCCAAAAATGTTATCTGCAAAAGAATGTATTTCTAGTTCCCAAATTTCTACACTAAATACCAAGTGTACCAGAAATAGTACTGCTCACTGTACTTCTAAGGACTGTCATGTATTTCATTAACTGCAGCATCTTCTTCACTGGCTCCTTCATTTTGAAATGTTCTTTATCAAAAGTGGGGATAACAACTTTCTGTCAAAAGCAAAACTAAAGATTCAGGTCTAGGCACTTAAGTGGGATTGCAAAGCTACTGTCTGGACTCCTTTTTAGCTCCTGCAGATTTAAGATAAGAAAAGCAGCAGCCTAGGGCTGAAAGCAGTGTTTCGTTTGCCACCTCCGGAGCTCAGCAGTGTAAGATCGCATGGCAAGTGACGACTGGGCAGAGTGGAAAATTTCAGGAACTGAACATCTGCGGGTGAAAACGAAAGCTAAGGTCAGGTTCAGAGCGCTGTGCCAGTAAACTCGTCCCTTCCTGTCTGCTTGCTGCAAGCCAGGCCGAGCCCAGAAATGCAGTAATAACAGAATCCCCTCTTCAGGCACCCTCTTCAGAATTCCCATTGCATTTTACAGACATGGATGACAACGTGAAGGAGGGATGGAGCAATGAGACACCCAATAACCGCATTCTCTGTGCCTGGATGCACGTTCTCTCAGGCAGAAGCGACTTCTGCAATGTTCTGACTCAGCCCTGGGCCCCTCAACCTCAGCCACAGCAGCAAAGGCTTGTTACCAGCAGACTAACCTTGGCACTTGACTGGGCATAAACCCAGCATCCTGCATGTGGCTGTGTGCCCCGCAGTCCTGGACAGAATGTCAGCACGTTTAACATAACCTATTGAAGATGTCACTGTCCAGAGCATAAGGAAAAGCTGGTGTGCGGAGAGGGACAATGTACAGAGCACTGATCTGTAGTCCTGCGATTCACAGCATTCAGCTTGTGGCAGCAGAATGTAAAGATGACCTGCAGATTGCCACATGCACAGAGATGTCTTGCTTGAGAAATAGCAGTGAACTACAGAATTTCAAACGTATTCCCATGCAGTAAAAGCACAGTCTAAGGAAGAAATTCCAGTTTAAGTAACAGGGCAGTGGTTGATGTCAGTGGAAACAGTCCCTAACCACGGTGTGAAGGAACACACAGCCAGTTGTCACATTATTTCTCATAGGGATGTGCTAGATATATCATCACAACGCGTGTCCATAGAAACTGTTCCAAACCCCGTGAAGCTGAACAGAGAAAGCTGAAGTTCTGGAGGGTGATTTAGTCACTCTGTAAAAACCCTGAGTAGGGTTCTAAGTCTCTGTCACCACAGAGAGTGGATCATGTTCTTCAGCTTAACAGGACTTGAAAACTTACCTGCAAGTCACACCAAACAAATGTTTAAAGTCAGTCTGGGCAATGATAAAGACACTTAACCCAAAATTCCAACACTGATTTCTGCAACGTGGGGCGTTTGTTTCATACCTTTTATGTAACTTTCTCCTAAATGACTGATTTCACGTTAGACTCAGTGTAATTACAAAACATGGTCCATGTCTTGCATGAGATAAGAACAGAGGCTCTTTCTTCAGAGTTTGATGATCTCTGAAAAACATTATTAAGCCTATTGGGAAGTCCACCGAAATCCCTAGAGCCTGAGGTTTGCATGTACTGCAGTCTATTTCTGCCTTTATTATGGTTCAGGAGCACATAGGCAGAATAAAATACTGAAACTCACATTTTTGCTTACTACTAAAATGCATAACACTCAGGATAACCTTAGGTGCAAACAGAAGCACCAGTGCTCCATCCTGGATTAAGGAAGTAGGAAGTTAAGTCATTATAACATTATTAATGATTTTAGCTGTCTCAGGAAATTATCAGAAAACAATCAGAAAACATGCTCTCAACTCCCTTTTTCTCCTCACAACACAATTCCTTCACTGTAATTCTCTTGGTTACTGCAGAGCCACTGTAAGTGTAGGCAATGACAATGTCCACAGCTATTTCTTTCTCTTTCCTTTAGGGACTGTGCTGAGGACTTCACCTCTGGGGCTCTGACTGCCTGGAAAGATGCTTCCTCTGCTAAAGCCTCACTAATCCTCCTGGCAGCCTCTCCCAAACCCTTGGATGTGTATAGCTGAAATTTGCCGTGTCCTCCTGTACTGGACCCAGAGGCTGTGTTTCTCATTCTGTTTGATATCTCTCCCCCTACTCATCTCCACACCGGAGTGCCTTCCTGACAGCACGTTAATACTGTGCGCTGCTGTGCACACTTTCAAAAGACACTGATCACTATCTCTGTGACTTGGGCCAACAGAAATTGGTCTTAGGCACAAATTCAGACATTGGTTGAATTTCATTCCCAAACCCAGTGTTTGCATTCACTGCATCCCAGCCTGAAAGTTCTGGCTTTGAAGAACACAGACCAATTGTGATACCCAGAGAAGAATGGATCACCCAGCTCTGTGTTTCCTCCTTGAGGGACAACCATGAAGCTGAGCTTGAAAGGAACACAATCAGGAGGAAATAAAAGCATACTCATAAACCATGTTGCCTTCTCAAAGCTTCCTTATCTGTGTCATTTAACCAAAGGGTTTCTTCACAAAGCAATTGTGAGACATTTTCCTTCCATAAAAAGCCTGAGATGTTGCTGGGCTGCAGAACCCTGACACGAATTCACAGGACATTACTAAGTCATTATAAAGAGAGGGTACCTCCCTCCTACTGAGCTCTCTGCAGGAGCAGCTCATCTGCTGAACATTGGGAAAGGACCATTGGGCATCTACTCCAAAACAGTCCACATCAAATAAAAAGAACCTATTCCAAGCCACCTGGCCTGCAGACATACTTTCTGCAGAGACTACTTTCTATCAATTCAGACCTTTACCCAAATCTCTGGTTTTCTCTCCCTAATTGATTTCTTACAGCCACCAGCAGGGAACTTTTCTCAAGAACTGCCCAGTATTTCAGTGTGGACATTGTCCCAGCTGTTTATCTGCTTGATAAGAAAAGGGATTAAACGCACAGGGAGATCAAGAAGGAAACAGCCACAGGGACATTTCCCACATCTAGAAATGCTCAATCTCAGTCATTACTGATCAGCCTTTTGTACCTGCCCTGGCTGTGGTTTTGCACTATTGCTAAGCCCTTCTCCAATGGAACAACAGGTCTGGAAATGGATGTCTGAGAGCAGCTCTGCACAGCCTCCTCTTCCAGCAGTCAAGCAACCCAGCCTTGCAGATGTGCAGTGCAGAGCACTCCTTTCTGCAGCCATGGGGATTTCTTGGGTCAACCTGGTTTGACAGACTTACATTTAGCAGAAGTCTTATAAAAATTTCTTACTTTTTGTGCCAGTCTTCCATGAACCATGACACAACCTCCACACAAAGCTTGGCAGAGAGGCATTTGCCACACAAGCATCTCAGATATGTCAGCTGGACCCATCCATTCTACCACTTTCTGGAATGGAAGATTTTCTCTGCTTCTCTGGGTCCAGATATACTTACCAATATTGACTACTCCTAAGGGACAGTGTGAACAATCTGATGGTTGGCTTTGGAGAAAGGGATGGGGGTGGTTTGTACAGCTTCTAAATGAAAATTTTTCGGTCAATGCAGAATCAATCCTTTTCTCCTAATCAGAATTAGTGAAGCCTTCCTGCCTCATACAAAGGCTATGGGTTCAGGATATGGTCACACATATTCTGACAGATTCTCCACCACTGAATAAAACAACTGGTTCTTCATTCAGAACTGCCTAGCAAGTAAAACCAACACGCAGGTGAACTTGAGGCGGTTGCTGAAATGGTACACTGAATAGTGCTGGGATTTATGGAATATTCCTCCAACCTAACTCCCATAATTGAAATAAAGTCACTAAAGAAACTTACATCATGCATAGGATTATAGGAGAGTGCAGGTTGGAAGTGGGAAAAATCCCTTGGGAGTTTGAAGTGTCACTTATTAAAAATAAACAACAGAGATGTGGATACAGCAAGGTCAGATTCTAGAAAGCAACGGATGGCTTTATGAAGTGGGTAAAGTCACAGGGTTTAATCTCAATAAGCAGCCTTACTAAAAACATCAAAGGATTGTTATGCATTCATTAGCAGGTGCTGTTATTGCCCCTAACAATTTTTGCCTCTATTCCCAAAAGGATAAGATGAAAAATTATCACTTCATCAGTGTAAATGCTTTGGCTAACTACTGCATAAGGGGGTATTTTGAGCACACCCATCAAAGCAAAAGGAGCTCATGTAGACCACGTACTGCACTGGTAAGTGCCAGAAATAGTGAGATTTTTGGTTAAAAGCATGTTCTTGCCTCACCTTGTATTCATGATTATTAGTTCTGGGTTAGTCACCTGAAACCAGGCAGAAGGAAATATAAAGGGGAATTTTCTGTGACTACAACATTGTCCCTAAGGTTAAAGCTGCTCAAGAGAGCTCTCCGACCACCATAAGCTGAATACCACTATGTTATTTCCTTCTCTCTTCTCATATACCAGCTTCTAAGATTAAATCACAGTCTGAGAATTCTCAAAAAGCCCACGTTATTCATCTTCCTTTAAGGGCTTTTTGGGATCAATACTTCCTGTATTCCCATGAAGTGGAACACATCATCTTTAATCCTCATTTCCTCCCATGGTTTTGCTTTTGAAATCCCATTTCTTTTCAATGGAAGAGCAAAGCTGCATGTATGAAAGACAGATGACTGGCATCCTGAAATGGCCTGCCAGTGACAAGAGAGAAATCTTTGCAGTTAACAGTGGCTTGATGTGGTAGAATGACCGTATCAGGAGAGATGACTGCTCAAATACATGATGATATACCCACAGTCTATGCCCACGCAGTGTCTCAGTGTTACGGATAAGGAACTAAGAAATGATAGCTGATGGTAGGGTTCTGTCACAAGCTCATGTGAGATCAGTTCCTACCCCATTAGATGATCATCTTGCAGAAACCACAGCACCCCATCCCTAATGAAATAAAAGTGAATGTACTATGGGGAATGAGTGATCATTTCCATCAGAGAGGCATTCCAGGTCAGTGATGATAGACACAGATGAGATACACACAGTATAAACTAATGATCAGTGATCCATCAACTAGTTTGTAGACTGCAAGTTTTAATACTGATAAAGTTGAAAATGAGGAAAAGTGAATGCAGTTCTTCAGCACAGAAGACAGCAGCATGACTTTTAATGTACACATTTCCAAGACAGCATGAGCACGGGAAATGGAAGGGAAATGAAAGCAAGTAATTAGTGGTCAAAGAACCTCAGAAGCCTTTTTATGCCTTCCCTTTACTTAGTTTACCTCCTAACTAGGAGCAGTGCCTTTGCTCCCAGCCTCCAGGCTGACCTCTTGAGCTTTGCTCATCTGACTAACCCAGACTGGGCTTTGTAAAAGCAAACAAATGAAACTGTTTCACTTTTAATTCTGGTAAACACTACTAACCAGGCTATGTTTTTCTCAGCATTCAGGGGACTGAGAAATGGTGTGAGATGGTGAAAGCTCACTGAAGTACACAGGAGTCTTTTTCCCTTTGATTTCATTGGCTTTGGCTCAGAACCCATAAAAAGCCTGAAAAGTAAATGTCCTGATAAGCAATTATCTAGAATGCCTTTTCTCTATAGACCCAGACAGAATCTGAGAGCGCAAGGATAGATTTGTGTCTCTCAGCTTTTAACAACCAGCCCCTAAGAACTCCAGAGGTTCCTAGAGTTGTACAGAGCAAAGTCACATAATTATGATATGTGGTTTCTCTGAGATACTCACACAGTTGGAACCCCTTTCTATAGAGTGAATAACACCCCGCACACCCCTATGGCACAATAAAGGCAGCTCATCCCAGGTTCAGTATGGAATACAGTCTGATTCTTTCAAAGTGCCTTCGTTAGATGAAAGAGTTATGGTCCTGTTCCTCTCTCAACCAGACAGGATTTCATCAAGTTACTCTTCATGCTACATACCACTCATATGGTGTCCATGCTTTGTATTATTACACCAGCTATAAAAACTGCCCCTTTGCTATGAATTAACTTTGAGGTTAATGAGCAAGTTAGAGGGCAGGGATAGGTTCTTCATCTCTTAAGCTTAACAATACACGCTGGCTGCCTTCTCACTGCAGTCAGTCGATCAGAAATGACCAGACCTGGTACAGCGTAGCTGTGAACTGCTGCAGGCTGTTATGGCAGTTGGAAGAGCTCTACATTTTAAAGCTGTGCTTCTGAAACAATTGTGATTGTTACCATTTTAGCAGCTTCCTAATTCCGAGCCATGCTAGCAGGGGAATAACCATCTTCCTGCTACTTGCCACTGGAGTCCCAACCAGTCAGAGAGGTGCTCTGTTCATTGAAATCACCAGGCATGATGGCGAACACAACACAAACGAGTATTGTGGGAGAATCAGGTAGGTTAAGAGCGCCCACTGGTTCTTAGAAAACCCCCAATACTGAGATCCACTCTAAGTTGTTGTTTACTCTTGTCCTGCCCATGACAACCTAACTGTTAACTGCAGTTGCAGGTGTTCATCACTGTGCAGACAGTGAACTGGAGACCCCTCCATGGACTCCAAGAAGTGCTTTTGAAAATCTTGGCCATAAAGCTGCAACCTGCTCCGGGAGGTATCTTCAGCTAAGGGAGGACAAACTCTACAGAGCTCTTTAGGGATGGAAGCCTCCAAGACTCAACAGGTGTCTGATTCTGTATGTAAGCTGTGGTTAAACACAGCATTTTGTGACCGCTAAAAGAGGAGGGAAAAGCAGAAAATAAAAGAGAAAGCAGCCCTTGCAGTTACACAATGGTGGAAAACCAAACACTCTATTTTTAGGCATAAAAAAATCAGTCCTCATACTGGTGAATTATCAGGGAGGTGTCCTCAGCAAATACAGCCTCTGCCTGTGTCCACCGCCATGATATAATATTTTCCAGTCTACCAATTTGCTTGATATTTGTTTTGAAACAGTTTTCCTTGTTCCTTGTTTCATACCATCTGAGGTACAGCTGACTTTCTGTAGATGAACTGACTGCTGAGAAAACCAGAGTAAGACTGAGAAAACCCCGGTCCTGCAAGCTGATACCTAACACAGCCCATGAGTCAACCTCGTCAGCTGCAAGAACTTACTGCTACTTTTGCATCTTTTGAAATCCAGTCTGTAAGAATGGCAGGGAATATTCATAGAAACATCAGCATTTTTATACTTTAAGAAGGATAACAAGGACTGTGCAAAAAATCAGCTGTAACAAAAAAAGGCCAAAGCACACTGGTTTTTAAACAGATGAAGCTGGACCCGAGCAGAAGGAAGCATACAGGTGATGAGGCAGTTCAACCTAATGCTGTGGAGCTGCAGCTGAAAGAAAATGTTTTGTATGAGACAGGGAAGCACCCAGACAAAGCTGAACAGAAGTTACTGATTCAAAAGAAAAGATCAAGTTAATCCTTTTCAAAACGTAGACTATGAAGGCAGATTCTTCTGGGGGAAAAGACACCCAGGTTGATAGTTAGAGAACAGGGTAGGTAACTCCTTCAGCCTCTCAGCTATAACTAAGGACAATAAACAGCAGCTTCAGAATTGTCCTCTGCATAATCACCACCTAAGTGTGCAGGATTACAGGAATAAGTGCAATGTCAGGGACCTCTCGGATCAGGGATAACACTAACCCTGGTAAGCTCTTTGCTGCAAGTGGCAGATGCCTCTGTTTGCTTCTAAACTTTAAAAACTTATTTTAAATATCAAACAAAATTATGAGGAAAACAAAAAATACTCTTCAAAGCACAGGGGTTTTTTGAAAAGCTAATGTGCCTGCCCTGATTAATCATGAGCTGAAAGCAGTACTTGATGACTGGTGTATGCTTCAGTTAACACTAGTTCATAAAACCTGGCTTGACAGAAGTATAAGATAAATTAATCACATAATATAAAAGTTGAAAGATGTGCCAGCTGGCTCCTGCTCAAGAACAACCACAGCACCTCACAGCACCTCTGAGCAGGCAGAAAGAATGCAGCAAAGCAATGGAGCGAGCGGGCAGCACAGTGTCGAGCCGTTCTCAGGTGTTACTGACTCACTTTAGAACACAGCTCTTGACAAGGAGACTACTCACACATTTCATATAAACATATGCTGGCTTTGATGATGGGCACTACATTGCGGTGCGTAAAGCTAAAGACTCATTCTTAACCTTTAAGGTCAAGGACTCTCATAATAAATATTGTGATGCTAAATGTCTAAGACTCACAGCCACTGTGCTGCCCCTTCCATTTGCATCTTATCAGAGCTTTAGATGAAGGCACAATTTCTAATGCCAAGTTAAAAGCTATTCACAAAAAAGAAACTGTTCTCCTTAAAGATCACAGCGAATGTTATTTGCTGCTCCAAAATAGTGAGCATACTTGTTCTTTACAGTATCACAGTAAAGATCACTTCCTTACGACATCTGAAAACGAGCCAAGCGCCATGGAAGAGATGGTTTTGTTTAGCATCAAATTCTTCAGCTCACATGTCTCTGAACAAAAAGCAATGCCTGTGACATAACGAACCAAGTGAAAAAGAGTTTACAAAGTGCTAAAGCTAAAGAATGATTTAAAGAATATTCAGTTATTGACAAATGGTGCTAAGCAAAACCTGGCTTGGGATGGAAGTATTCTATTCAATACCCACAGGGCTCAAATGGCTTTCCGTGGCAAGAGTGAATTGAAATCAGTAAACACCTGACATAACAATGTGATCAGAAACATATCTTTCCCCATGGCAAGTGCAGAATGCAATCCTGTATTTTAGATAAACCACAAATTTAGTCTTTTCCATACCAAAACCTGATATTAACAAAATAAAAAACAAAAAAAGGGAAGATTTTCACTACACAGAAAGATTCTACATGAGGCTCTGAGGCTGAAAAAATCAAAAGCAGACTCCTGAACATTTCCATGTGGGATTAAGAGCAAGATCCTATATACTAAACAACACACACCAATTATCCTACTGCTGTTGTTCCAGCTTTTCTAGACACATTACTGCCATATTTATCATGTATAGATTATTTCCAAACAATTTCAGCTTTATGTTCCCAATGTTTTTATACATGTGCATGTATGTGTATATATATATATATATGTAAGAATGCAGTAGCACCAAATCTGGTTCTGTCCTTAGAACATTGGTAAGTCTATAACCTGGAGCTACCAGCTAAGAACCTTTTCCTCATTTTCCTCAGCTATATCATGATCTAAATCTGTTTCTCCATGCCTCAAGAATTAAAAGCACGATCCATAGCTATCAAACAGAAGTCTCCCAACTGTCTTTTCCTTGTTTTAATGTTTGTCTTACACAAGTCTCCTGTGAACCTCCATCTAGCTTAACTGATTGTTGCCTGTACATAACCTTTGGACACTTCATTCCACTCACCTCCTCTAAGTGTAGACTAGTAATTAGAAGTTATTGACTCAAGGGCTTACAGTAACCAGCTGTAAAACTGTTGTTTCCAGAACGTAATTATTACATTTGTGTAAACACCCTGAAACCCTCAGGCTAATGCATGGCCAGGTGATACTATGCCACAAGTGATGCTGATAACTGAATACTTCCTGTAGGAGTGGGCCCAACAGAAAAACAGGCCTTTGACATGACTTTCTGATGGGCCCTTAATCATTACTGTATATTCTTGCCAACAGTATGTTATTTATCAAAACTGGCATGATACACAAGTACAGAAATGGGTTCCATTTCAAGGAAGAAGAAATGAAACCAATGAATAGTCTTGTCCCTTTTTACTGCTATGATTCATCATTGCCTAATGAGCACTGTGAGCTTCTGTCTTTCAAACTCTGCAATAGTAATCACAGTATACAACACAGTCTCTTTCATCCCCTATTACTTAATTTGCCCCCAACATCTTTATTTTCAGAGATTCTGGATATGGAAACACAGATGCACCAATCTATTTGGTGGTGGTATTTTCTTTACAACGGCCAGAGAACCATGGAGAAGACTGATCAGGAAAGCGTCCCCTGTGAGCAGCAGGAACAAAGTTATCCACATGACTGTGCAAGTGTTTCCTGCAGTGGGCCCTGTGAGAGCCACTGGCAGCTAATCAGGAGCACACTGGCACTGACACCAAAGGGGACACTGGTGGGACAGAGAACAGCTCTTCAGTCTCAGCAAGGCTGGGTGGCTCAAACAAAGGTGACCCTGGGTACTACTGAAGAGAACTCAATTCACCATATAAACTCTCAGGTCAAACAGATCAGTGAGTGGTAACTTAGGGCAACGAGGCTAATAGAAGATCTTTGCTCTCAAATTATGCTGTTGAAGAACAGAATTTATATGTCTTGAAAACAGAAACCTCATGAAAACAGAAACCTCAGTTATGCAGCTGAATGACTCTTCAGCACAGTCATTACAGAAGAATGACTACCAGACACTGGGGTTACTTTCACTATTAAAAGGAAGTAAATAGTGGTTTACATCATCCCTCCCCTCCGCCAAGAAAATTATTCATAACAGAGTCAATGTTACCTTCACGTTAGATTTCTTTCTCTGAAAAGCTTTGTTATGTTGAAAACCAGATTATGCTTATATGAAAAAGAACCAAACAAAACCCCTCAGACACCTCATCTTACCCTACACCTGAATCACTGCTGTCACAATATTTAGTCAGGATGTCTCCTGCCTCAGCAACCACGTTCCCCCTCTGCACCCAGCTAAAATTTGCACTCTTTACCAGTTCCCAAAGTCTAAAACTCACAGATCCTGGTTCTACCATATCAGTTACATCTATCATACCTTTGGTGTGGTGTTCCCATGCTCAGCTGGCACCTCAGCCATTTGGGAGCTGCAGATATGCCACGGCTGCACCTTCCAGCTCCTTGGTGCTTTCCCTCTTGAACTATCCATAAATTAAATAACAGGCATATAAGGATAATTGCATGTGTCCAAGTCATTCTATTTAGTAACTGAACAAAATACTATGTCTCATACTACAACAAGTAAGACAATTAAAGCATAGAGGGATGCTGAGCACACTACATTCACAGTTCAGGAAACTAGGATGGTTCCATACACTGTTAATCCTGCTGAGTCTGAGAGGTTTCACTGTTGCACTGATACAAAGTTCAGTGCATCTCCATGCTACAGACCAAATACACATAATGTAACTGGAGTACAGCATGGGTCATCCATCTGCTGTCCTTGATTAGAAGTAACATATTCCGGTATCTACTCTCAAATCTTTTAGCATTACACTGTTCACTTTTACATTGAATATTCCTTGTCAGCTGCCAAGGCTAAAGTTTTCTGTGCTCTGCATCAAATTATTTTGAAAGCTTAAACCAGAATGGTTGCACTTTCCAAAAAATGTATTTAAGAGAAAGACAAGTGGCTTTTCTCACATGAAGGAGAAAAACTTACACCTTACACATTGTGGAGAAATGCTGTTACCTTCCTGCTTTATCTGAAATTCAGCAGAGGGACGCCCCAGCATAATGTCAGAGTATCTCCTGATAGACCTGTCAGGAAAGGATTCAAGGAAAAAGAAGTGGGGTAGAAGGACAAGATGAGAGAGAAGATAGTTAAGGAATATATAGAACAGGAGTAAAGCTGAGGGTGTTAAAGGTGATGTGAAAGATGTGGGAGTAGAGAGAGGAACAATAGTGGCGATGGCAGAGAAAAAAAAACAAAGGAGAGGGGCTCTTGAAGAGGGGGCTTAGGGTTAGCAGAGACAAAGGAATTTTTTGATACAGTACTTTATGCTATAAATGGTCACTAATGGCCTCCATTTCTTTTATGGCATTTGTCAAATCCTTGGTGCTTTGAGCGAGGATTTTCTTTTTGCTTCTTTCATGGCTGAATGAAAACCAAATAAGAATCTAACAGCCTAAAAAAGGATGAGCTTCAGCACTGAAGCTCTGCTCTGGCAGGTGAGGAAGCCCCGCAATTCGAAAACAGAGAAACAAACCTGAGGACTCGGGCAGACATCGCAGCAGGCACTGCCACCTGGAGGCACAATGTTCCAAGTGCAGCTAAAAGCAAAGGTCATGTTTCAAGAGAACTCTTACCCCTAAATGAATTTTATTTATATTACTGGTATTTCTACTGAGTTTTCCCTGATCCAAATCTGTTAGGGCAGTGGAAAGATGGTCTTTTTAAGAAGGACATGGACTCCCACTTTTAAAGGACATTTATTTGTTGTGAAGGCCTCTGTACAACATTGCACATTGCAGTAATTACACCATTCAGTGCACAAAACCCCTCTGAGTGGTGCCTGTTTTCATGCAAGTCTAGAGATCAGGGTGACAGGCACCTATCCCTAATAAGAAAAGGCCACCACTAGTTCAACTGCCAACCTACAGTGAAGAATGAAGACCTACCCATAGCATGGACAGCAAGCGGGAAATACTACGCTTCAGGTTTCAGATGGGCTTGAAGTTAAGATCTTTCATATGAGCTGCTGTAATTCAGATATGAACACCACATAGGGCACTATTTATTTCTTGTTAATGATGTGTACTCCATTACATCTGTATTCTCAGTCAGTTTTCCTGAGAGCTCTGTATTACTTAAAGTTCAGACAAGTTTGGCCTTTAAGCTAAACTTGCGGTTATACAAGCTAATACTTTGAACCTAGAGTGTGCCTTTTAATCTACAAACCCAAATAGCTTCAGAAATATTAATTTAGCTTCATGATATCCCAGTGAGACATAAATTACTATATTTGTATTATCCAACACTCCAGGCAGCAACTATAATACAGTACTGGGCTTGACTGCAAGTCCTCTAAGGTTCTTTACCAATGACATTCTTGTCTTCATCATCCTCTTCTACTTCTGTTTTTTATACTAAAGAAAGAAAAAAAAAAAATAAAACAATTATTTGTGGGAAGAGCATATAACCAGAAGCCACAGTTCATCCTGACATGGATTTACAACCCTCTTCATGATCTACATAAAATGATCTCAGTTTCCTTTAAGCTGGATTGAAATTTGATAGGCTTTCCCTCTACACTATAACAACAATGCTGCCGGGCAGGCACTAGTGACCTGACCTTCCTCTCACAGCTCCAATTCCAGTTTCCAATGGAGCAGACTACAGTCTCTGTAGCAGAATCAGAATGAGGCTTTTCCTAATTATAGGGAGAATAAAATCAGATCCAGGCCCAGACAGTTATTTCCTAGGCTGTAACTGCTGGGATTTGGCTACTGCTATAATTTTATAATCTATGAGTAATCTGTGCTTTCTCCTGTAACAATTCTCATTTGGATTTCATGGACTGGCAGAGAAAAGGACTTAACAGTCATTTAGTAAATTAAATCACAAATATTTAGAGCAAGCTGAACTTTTGACTTGTCTCCTTATACTCTGAGAAATGTATGGTTAAGATATCATGCTCCCAACCAGATTTAGATCCAAGGAAGTACAGGTGACTCCAGATATCTAGTGGTAAACAGCCTCCACTCTTTTATCTAGGACACCAGTGTAAGTGCCATCTTTCAGTGCTGTGACAGTGAAGAGGGCTGTCTGCTGGGTGATAAGTAGCACAGGGACACCAGCTACCAGAGATCTGTCCCCCCCATTGTCTAACCCTGATCTGCACAGCCACAGGCAGGATCCAGGAGAAAAACAAATGGTTCTGGGGATTTATGAAAACTCACTGAGAGGACCAATCCCTGCCAGGAAAGTACCCGATGAATAGCAACAAACTGTGGCTTGCAAAACATTGTCCTTTCCCCTTTCTGATGTACTTACTTTATTCATGACCCAGTCAGCATCTTCAATGGCTCTCTTAATAATCTGCTGGATTCGCTCAGGATCATCTTCATCAGCATGAACCTTGAAACTCTGCAATATTAAAGTGTTACAATGAGTAGCCAACATAACACTTGTCAGAATAAGGATCCCTTTTAAATCACAAAGAAAATATTTGAAGCAAACAGTTATCTGAAAAGATACAAATACACATTGTAGGACCTGGCTGTGCTATTTCCATAGCAAGCCTGGTCGAATGTAATTTCCTATTAAGTATTTTACTCCTTTCATACATCAGCAGAAAGAAAACCCCAGCAAACTTTAATTCAGAACAACAGCTGAAATTGTCTGGTATGTTAAAACTAGAAAGACACAGGACAACAGGTATGACCAAAGGCATGAAATCACTTCCATAGGAGCAACTGGATGAGATTTACCCATCTGGGAGACCTGTGTGTGTGTGTGTGTGTGTGTGAATACAGATATGAAAATGACCAACAAGGAACCAATAAGCTTCACCATACAAGATGTGTTTAAATGAGTAAGGAATGATTGTCCACTCTATTGACTAACAAGGATTAGAGATGAGAACCATGGAAAAACACAAGGTTTCATATTCAAAGCAAGTAAGAAGAAATGCTCCTTCATATACTCCCAGTATAATCATCCAAATCCACTTGTGCCTCAGGCTTGGAGAAGAATCATTTGTTAAGTGCCAGGAGTTACAAAAGTTGGTCCAACCTGTAGGAGGAGAAAACCGGAACACCCCACAGGGCTCACTTCCACCACCAGTAAAGCAGTCTGTTTCTCACCTGCCTGACTGCATGTCTGTAATGCTGCCGAATGCTCTCTTCAGGAAGCTGCTTACAGCATCGGAGCAGGTAGCGATACAGCTGCCGAGAGTTCTGAACTAGTTCAGCATTTGGTAGCGGGGGCATCCTCGAGCCTTGTAGCTGCTGAAAACAAAACAGATCAAAATACCTCATGAACTTTATTAAGAACACAGGAATAAAAGGGTAAAGGAATTTTACAGCAAGACGGGGGCCAGCAAATTAAGGTTCAGCAGAGTAACTTGAAGAAACTTCACAATACGAAATGAACCAGAACTTGCTTAGTTGATGGACAGATGGAGGTTAGCTGTGATTCATCACAGTATTAAAATACAAAAGAGTGCAGTTCATGCAAGATCACTTTATCATGATAATATTCAGGTGTGCTGCAATATTATTTTTCTCTAGTTTCGAGACCCCTGTGTAAGCTGCTCTCAGTATACAGAGCAGCATTGTGGCCCTGAGGGGGTTTTCTACTTGATAAGCCATGATTCCTTGATTCATGCAATCTCCCAGTGCTTCCCCTGAGCATCCATGGGGTCCATCCCCATGGTGACACTGTACAGTGAGAACACTCATAAATGCTACAAGTGGTGATGGAATTCCATAATATTTCCTAGCGTTGGCATTCTCTCCAGAACATCTTGTGAACTGGCCTAGGAATGTCAGGCTTTAGCTTGAAATAACATGTATAACTATAGAAGACAGGCAAAAACATCAATAGGTTTGAAGTTCTCCATTTTTTTGGTAACAGGAAAAGAACAAATCCCACAGGTTTCACCTCCATGGCTGTACTTCCATATTGTATCGCTCAGTCCATCCAAGCTATATAAAGTGCTAATCAAATACTGTGACTTGTCATTTAACAGATGGTTGCCATCTGCAGAGAGCTAAATTAACATTCAGAAAAAGCACTTCTACATCAGCACTCTAAAGAATAAAGATAATAAATAAGAAAGTGAATAATGAAGTAGGTGTGTGGCATTATTTTAGCACCCATTATGACACTTATTACTTGGAATTATTTTTTTCTTTTTCTCAAGTAATTTAAGTCCCTTGGCCAAATCTATTCCAGAATAGAGCACTGCAGCTATTGCATGCCTGGGTTGTCTATATGCACAGACTGGTTCTTCTTGCAGTGGGGAAAATCTCATCTCTATGCACCACAACAGGCCATGTACTACTGTAATCTGTATTTTCAGTAAAACAAAATTCCACCTCAGACTATAACTAGATCTAAAACAGCACAGCTCTGGAGCTGCAACAACAGCTATGCTGATTTACAGTAGCAGAGGTCACTGAAAATAGCTAATGTCTTAGGTACAAAAAGCATGATTCTTTTATGTGAAGAAAATGGCAACATTCTATGACAAAAATGTGTCTTATTCTTGAGGGATGGCCCTCTACAAAGCTTTACTCAGAGCACAAAGTCGCACCTGAGCACCTCGCAGTACTGGTTTTTGTCTGTTCCTTTACTGAAAGATGGAGTGAAGTCTATGCTATCTTGGTGTTTGATTCTAACTATCTCTGGTCAAAAGTAACATCCTGTAAATAGCAAGGGAGCTGTTCCTGTGGCAGAGCTGCTTTTCCACAGGCAATGTGTGAGAAAAAGCCTTGCAATACTAGCATTATTCTCTGTATTGGAGCAGTGCCCATACTCTTCAGTCAGGGATTCAGGCTCCATCATGGTAGGCTCTATATATACACAGCTAATGAAAAAGTTTCTGCCACAAAGAATTTACAAGGCAGACTAATGTCAAGTCACACGATGAGGCAGAAGGAGGCAGATGAGCCAAGCAGGCGGGGTGGGATGGGGAGGAGGTGGCAGCAGTACGAGCCTGGCTTTGAGGAGGCTAATGGAGCACACAGGATAGCACACCCCCCCATCCAGCAGGCGAGGGTTTTGAAGGACCTGCAGAAACAGTGAGTCACAGCCTGGGTGTGATGGAAGCCCCTCAGGAAGGCTCTGGTGACACTGCAGGAAAAGTTCTCCCAGCCTCCAGGGGAACAAGAGGACTCCCTTAAGGAAGTACTTAACAGGGACAGGGCTGCTACCTCATTAACTGGGGATGTGAATTACTAAGATATGCAATAGGCTTAATATGTATACATCTTGGAATAACATGTCAGGATCCCTTTCCTGCTTAGTCATACTGACATCTTTCCTTACATCTGAAGTGTGCGTTGCACAGTTCATTTGTGACTTCACTTGGCATCATTTTAGCAACACTTATCCAGGATGGATAAATGGGTGACGCCAGCATCAGTATGGCTATTTGGAATCCAGGTGGTCTGTACCATGCTGGTAGTGCCCCATCCAGTGCAAGAGGGACTAATACACATCTCAGAAGAGGAAAAAAAAAAGATCAAATTTAAAATTTAAGATAACAACTTTGACATAGTTATTACTAAAGTTTGGAATAAAGAACTTAGGGACTGAAGGAGTGTAACATTTAGGAAAGATTCCATGGACAAAATGTAAGTGCCATTTCCAATTCTTAGTTACAGGTAGTTCAGAAGTAGATGGTGTTGACGAGAGTAAGTTTTCAAACATCCCCTTCCATCAGCATGACTGAGCGTGGTATCAGGACATTTTGTGGGCATGAAAATCTCACTTACTTTGCTCCTGGATTTTGTCATCACAACCTTTACCCTCTGCCAGTTATCCACTCCTCCCACAGCTGATACACCCTAATGAAAGTGGATCTGCACTGGCCTCTAACAGGCCAGTGATGTGCCACTAAAGCTCACACGGTCCTCTAAATCTAAACCTGACCACTGGTTTCTGCACTTTGAGCCTTGTGGGGTGTGTCTACTTCTGAATACTCGGTATGTTCTATCAGTAAACTACAAGAGATGAGGTCAGACTTCTCTATGATCCCTCCTGGGAATTATTCACAGCCAAAATATGGTTTCCATTAGCTTTCATGGGCAATTAGAAACCCATCTTTCCATCATGAGGGCAGTAAGTTGGCTCTATACTGCTGCTGCAATCTTTTCATTCTGTTTGTTTGATTCCAGTTCTGGTTTTTCATATTTGTTTAATAAAAGCCATTCAGCCTCACACACACTACAGGAACTGGATATTGTCAAAAACACCAACATATGCAGGGCAGGAAGATGTTCCAAAAATGCAGAAATATAGATCAAGAGCTGATACTTCAAAACAGCCTCAGTCTGACTAGTCCCATTGCTGGCTCAATTTCTAAGCACCCAACTTGCGCTGATTATGGCTTTACCTAAGAAGCTCCATTTAAAATACAGATCAGGATGTCCCCAGGCTTCCAAATATTAATCTCTCGTTTCCTTACAATCTTTTTTCTCTAAAATACCATTTTCTCTTTGTAATGAAACCTATGCTGGGCACCAGCCCCATGCATTTTTTGTATGGATTCACGTCACTTTGGCATTTGAGTACAGGAGGTGATGATACTCTTGATAGTCAGTAGAGATCCCGCATTCCCCCTCCGACCAGGAGAAAGAAGCAACTCCAAAATGTGACTCAAACAATATGTAGACTTAATTATTCTCTGCCCTTGTCTCTGCTGAACACAGGAGCAGCAAACCAGTAACTGTAATATAGATCCTGCAGTTACAAGCCTAAATTAAGTAGGAAAATTCCAAGTCTGTGTCCTACTTTGAAAATAGAAACATAATCATAGAATGGCACAGGATTTGGCTTGTTACTTAACAAACACATTGCCACAGGTTCTGGGTATCAGCCAGTACAGAAATCCAGAATATGCAGTCGGATTCAAGTTGATCTGAACCTAAATTGAACTTTACACACAGGTTTTTTGCACTAGAGACTTAGCTGGTAAGAACTGGTAGAGTTCCACTGACCCTATGAGCCTGACCCTGTATTTCACATATTCCCACTAAATACAGTGGGACATCCCAATTCAATACAGATCCCAAAATATACTTTGGGACTAGAGCCAATTGGTTGAGTTGTTTCTAGGCTTTGATGTGTAAACTCATCATATGTCATTGTGCTCTAATTAAACTTAAGTGGAGCAATAGATTTCCTATCACAAAAGCAGAGATCCCTCATGTTCTGGGAATGGGTAGGACAGCTTACTTCAGCTAAGCTCTGGGAGACAGCAAGAGCCCACTCACGTAAACATATGAATATGGAAGGATTAAACTGATCAGTGGAATTGTAAATGTTGTTTGGCTATAGATAATTGGGAATTTTCCACTGCAGTACCTTTCCACGGGGAATTGAGAAGCTGTTGAAGCCAAGTCAAATCGTGTGACAAATGCATTTACACTGATGAATTTTAGGGGAAAAAAAAATAGATCCTTTACCTTCCCACTACCACTGGACTTTGTAACAGACGAAGAGTGAAGGTTTCACCAGTCTTGCTGTCAAACACACACTCCACGAGACTCCCATACTGCAAGAGAGAAATACACACATCCTGAGTTCTGACCGATTCATAGCTCAAACATGCAATGATTTCTGTGACCTGGGTAAGCTCCACAGGGAAGTTTATTACCAAAGAGCTGGATTTTACTATATGTGTAACTTCAGTGTTTGCAGTGTCATTTCCAGCGAACACTTGACTGTGAATCTACCACAGCACATGGAAAACTTGATGGTTATTGGGTAAAATGGATGTTTAATGAGAAATAATCTTGTGACCTGACCCATTATTCAGTTGTAAGGTACTGTATGAGTACAACTCAACAGTGAATAGATCCCCAACCAGGTAAGGCTGAACCCTGCACTTGTACAGCCCAGAACATCAGAGAATTGGCATAGTTACTTCTGAAATTTGTCCCTTACTTAGCACAAAAGGACAATGAAGCACAGTAAGAATCTGTACTATTGCCTTTTGTTCCAAAAACATCCCCCCCCCATCCCACAAATGTTACTGTTTTTTTCTGCCAAGAAAAAACCCTCGACCTCACGCAATCTGGCTATAATCCTGACTAATAATGTAAATCCCCTCCTGATAACTTAAATATCAGGCATAGCACAACAAACAAACTATCTAAACCAAGAATTGTTGAGTCAGAAATCAAATAATCCGCTAATTGTGCTTTTCTGGAATGGATGACTGTATAATGTCCTCATCAGAAGGCTGAAATCACATTTGCATTTAGATAAAGCCCTGTTTAAAAAGAGACAAGTATAAAAGGAGACACTGAGACTATTGTGGCATTTCTCTGCATTGCATAATGATTTACATTCCTGATAATGATATTCAGATAGTGAAGCAAAGACTGACCAAAGCCCATGAATCTTGCACGCTGCATTAGCAAGCTTGTCAATTGACCCAGTGTACAGCTGAACGCGGGTGACAGTGCTGTGACACCGCCACCGCGCTCTGCTGGGGTGTGCTGCTGTTGGGACTGTTTTCCAAGCAAATCCCTACAGTTCAGTTAGTCTCAATCCCTCCAGACTGGTTAAATGGACACCAAAGCTGGGCCTCAGGGACTGGGAGTGTTAATTAAAGCACTGCAAGAGTTACCTGAGCTGTTGCTGGTTAGATGCTGGCTTCCCCATCCCTCTCTTCCCCCACTGCACAGACTGCAGATGTGCTTTCTTATTGCTTCAAAACATTACATTTTTAGGAGTTAGACTCAGGAAGCTATGACGCCCTCTCCCAGTCAAACCTCATGATCTTTCGAGTATGGATTTTACAGGATCCTAGCAGAGTAGCACAACATTATTAAGTCCATTTTTAACAACAGGGAACCAAGGCAGGCCTGGATTTGACTCAGTTTGGCCACTTAACTGATACAAAGCTATAGCCTGGAACACTGCCTCACAGCTCACTGTAGGCGAGACACACTCACCTCCACAGAACAACAAAGATCCTGAGGTGCTGAATCCCACCCACCAAGCGGTATTTAACAGAACGGAGCAGGGCTCCCACAGCCTGCCTCAGCATTCTGACTACTTATCCATCTTTCCTGACAAACCCATGTTCACAACCAGGTTTTCCACTGGGGAAGGCACTGCCATTGCCATCCCACACAGAGCCACGCACACAAAGCAGACATTCCCTCCTTTGGAGGGGAAAGAAATGGAGAGATAGAACCATTTGATACTAATTCCTACTGTCTGCTCTGTGTAACCGAAGGCACATGAAGGATCCAAAATCTGGTACCAGTGTTTGCAGATGGTCCAGGCTCTTGCTCCTGACTGTCTGCCATGCGAGTTGATCACACTTCATGTCCAAAGATAAATTCCTCCAACAAATGGAGGTAAAGCACCTAGTGAGTGGTATTAAGTTTAGTTTTAATTAGGAAGATGCTTTGGAATATTCCCAGCAGTATAAGCACTCATAAAACAGCAGAGAAATGGACTGTTCCTTCAAACCTTTGTGTGATTCTAGCTACCTTGGGAATTTGGTGTTGAACTTGGAACATCTTACACGGTTATTTAAGGTGGCAAAATTATTTGTTCTCCTCAAAGTGTCCAATAACAGAATCTGCAAGAAAAAAATCATTAGTGAACTTACTATTAAAAATTCATATTCAGGCTCTGTAACCTGCCCTGTTATGCCTTAACTGGACCTGCTTTTATTGGTCTGAATACAGGTTCCAAAAGTGCTATTTGTGCAAAATGAGATGCACAGGAAAGTAATAATCCAACTGCCAAAATAAGAATGAAATTGGAAGCCTCTTGAAACCTCTTTAATCACAAAACATCTTGGTTCATGTTTTGACATCAGTCCAGGAAGACACCCAAGTAGATGGCTGCTCCTCAGAAGGATGCTTACTCTTTTGTCTTCGAATCTGGCTAACTCAGTTCTCCCTTCCAGGTTTCACAGGCTCCCAGCTGGGAAAGACCCATGACTCCAGGCTGTAGCTTCTCAAATGCACTTACAGCTCACTGCAGCAGTGGCAGACTGTACTGGTTTCAGTGAGCTAACTGCCGTCTCCGGTTATTACACTGCAGTGTCTTCCCTTTATTCCCCAGTAGGTCACAGGAGAGTGACTGGTGTGATGGGTCCAGCCCAGCTCCACAGGCTCTGCTGCCCTGGGCAAACCAGCAAACATGCATCTCTACCAAGTCACATTCACTGACAGAGATACAGAGCATCCTGCAGCCCTGGGCCATGGCCTGCCCTGCGATACACCCCTCCTCGTGTATGGCTGAGCACGTACAATGCTGGAGTCACTTTCTAACACACACATCTCTCCAGCATGCTGGGCTTTTATCAAGATCTGCTGGTTTGATGTGATCGCTTCTGACGAGCTGTCATTGTTGTGGATTTTGTCCTTTCTAAATCTGAGCTGTAAAGTCCTATTGCATGAATGACGATAGCCAGTCCTGTTCCGTTCACTTCTATTTCTGTTCTGCTCTGCTTTATGCTTTGCTTGATGCGTGAACAGAGCTGCAGTGTCAAATGACAGTGCAGCAGCAGCACATTCTGGGGGCACAGCGCTGCAGTGTAGAGTTAGCTTACATGGTATCACTAGAGCATATGGGGGATTAAGAACAGGCTAAATGAGAGCGCTCAGATCTGTTGTTGACAAGGAATCTACCACTGGCTGGACGTCCTTCATGCAGCTCTATAGGATCAGTATTAGGGCTGATGTTATTCAGCACTATCAGCAGTCGTCTCCCTGCAAGTTGTAATTGGCAGAACTTGAGGATGACAAAGATTGCCAGAGCAACAGGGAATAACAGAGAAAGTGGTATGTATCTGGATAAGGTGGGCCCAAAGTTGTGCTTTAATACACCCGAGCATTACATAAACTACTCAAGAGCAGGTTATTCCCCCACAGTCAGAGGCCATAACCTAGAAGGAATAGTTCTGCAGAAAGAACTAGACAGTCATACCAGACAAGCAACTGAACATCAGCTCTCAGTGAGCTGCAAAAAACTCATAGGGATCTCTAAACGTAGCAACAAGGAACCTATGAATAATAGGAAAGATTTAACTTCACCTGTGAAAGTGCAGCAGAGCTCCAATTCATTTGCCATTCATTTATCCACATTAAATAAAAGAGAAAGTAAAGAAGAAGAAATGGGCTGCCACTACCACAGCAATTCATCCAGCCTCAACCTGCAACTGAGAGTCCACTGCAAAGGACAAAAAGGAAAGAGCTCCACACACTTGAACCGTCCCAGCGATCCTCATGCAGTGTAGGAGCTGTGAGGCACAGATGTGCTGGGCCAACACGAGCTTCCTGACTGAATGCAGAGGTTCCTGGGTCAGGTTTAATACCACATTACACAGAGTCAACCTGTACAATCTAGTTGTCCTTCTGGTCTCAAACCCTGAACACACAGGAAGGTGCTGAACAAAGATTTGAGCACCCTGGCATGCTCAGCACATAAGAGATCTATATCCTCAGGCTCTGAGAAGCAGTTTTCTTACAACTAAAGCACAGATTATATTTCATATTTGCACTCACTTTATGATCCCTCTACTGCTGATAGGGTGTAAAGCAACTGTAAGGAAACTGTAAATCAGACCTGTTTTTCTTAGTGTCCAAGTAAAAGCTTAAAAGATCTGTATGGTAACGGAAAACTGAATATAGATATAACCCAACAGGGTTATAAAATGGCACAAAACCTCTGGGGTTTGGCCACAAAAAGACATCAAATTCTTGTCATGATGAAAACCACTTATATAAATTAACCAAAGCCACAGGGCACATGTTTTACCTTACACTTGTTCAGTATCATGAAGCAGAGACATGCAATACATCAAACAGCAAAGAAAACACTGGGACTTTTGCAATCTAACACCAGTGAGGAAACCTGCTGCCCACACCAAGGCCAGATTACCCTGCTCTGGATAATTAATAACATGCTCGGGCTAATTAGAGTAATATTCTTTGGAGCATATTCATTGAACATCAAGCTCAGACAGCAATGGGAGGATTGGAATCTCCCTGTTTAGGTGCAAATCAAACCTCTTTAACCCAGGAGAAATCAGTCAGGAGAACAAAGTAAAGAGAGGCACAGACTCAAAAGAGCTTCATCTTCCCAGCTGTAAACTTCCCAGTTCAGCTGCTGTCCACATGAATTTTGTTCTCAGCGGCACCATCTAAGTATTTATCTTTGCTACCATGCCTGAATATGAACTGAGTTATATCTTGGTGTTATCAGCTTTAAAACAAAACTGCCCGTTTGCTCCTTCTTTCCTTGTAACTGCTGCATTTGAAGTGTTCCAGTGCTCAGCTCCAATTTAGCAATCCCATGACAGTTCATATAACAACTTCCTGGCTGGGCTTCTATCACCTTCTAATACTGTTTGAATCATCACATTCTTGAAGAGCTTCCAAGGGGGCACAACACAAGCTACCACAGATGTTGTTCAAGGACTGATCCCCAGCTGGCAGCAGAAGGTATGAAAGTTCTTTTGAAGGGGGCAAACATGCTGTCTGATTAATGACAACATTAATTCTGTGATCCATGGGTCATATA